AAAAACTCATGAATGGGCTCCCATGTGATCTAATAAGCATAAAATTGCTTAATGAAAACAGCACACTCGTGATAATTATGAGAATCGTATGTGATTCATGCGATGAATAATAACTGATTACAAAATACAAAATTTTATTGGATTGGATTGTGTTTCAATCGTTTAAAAATTACTCAACAAGCATTTATATCTAGGTTATTTAATTCAGGTAAAATATGAAAGGTGTAAAAATTTAAATTAATCAATCATCTGTTGAATAATTATTCAAGAATAATTGTTGAAATTGAAAGAAATTATCCAATAATGTTAAAAATATTCAAGAGAAATCATCAAAGCTGTTCATTTAATAGCTTTAAAATATTGATCACAAATTTAATTATCAACATTTTCCGAGACGGCCATGTAAACAATTCATTGCAAATACTTATGTTATTACGATATGACGCTTTTCAATATACAAACATATTAAGAAGAGATTTGAATCTTGAAACAAATTTGAGGGAAATAAACTTTACATCTTAATCAATTTATACTTCTTATTCTTATATTTTTTAATATCAACCTAGAATATCATTTAATTTCTCTGCAGCCATACAGAACTTGAATTAAAACCAAGTAATTCTTTACTTAAAGGGTTAACGCAAAACAGCAGAGAAAACTCTATGCCTTTCATTCGTCAAATCCATCACCACATGTTAGGACGGCTGCATGTTCTGTCTTTTGAAACCTGATCGTGTGTTGTATTTCAGCCACGGCGATTGCAAAACAAGGTCGTTTGAAGGTAATTCAGCGCCATTTTCTTCACACACGGTACAAAGAGAAACGCTTTCGAATACCAAATAAATAATTTGGCATGCATGCTCTTGGCGCATATACGTTTTGATTAATAAAATTCGGCCGATTACTTTTTGCACACCCACCGTTCGGTTTGGCAATTGGCGGGTTTTGTTGCCACAACCGTGCTAGTGCAGAATTAATTTCGAGTGTCCGAAAGAGCCACGGGGCTGGAACTGGGCGCCGATCCGCGCGATGCCCACACGGTTGTCGCCACAGTGTCTATGACCGCGGGAGGTGAAAGTTACGTTATGTGGCGGCCATGTTGTCTCTTTTTTATACTTCTTCTTAATGCCACGAAACCCACGTGACTTTTGTTAAATGTAATTCACTGCAGAGAGAAGGAACGAACTAGCAACCTCGGCCTCATAGCAGCTTTATGAATGAAACTCGAGAAGAAAGCACCAGTTGCTCGGCCGCAAGTCGGTCTCTGCACACCTCAAACTGCACTCGAGAGAGCTTTTTTACTCTCAAAATGTATATGTATATACGTGAGTCGCTGTCCACGGACGTACATGAGCCACGCAAGAAACTTTTACCTCAAAATAAAAAAATTGAAATATTCAAGCGCTGCTCATTCACGTTCGCGTGCATGTATGAAATTTCATGGTTGAGTTGGAAAGTTTAAGCTTATTTTCATGCAAGCGACAGAGCGAGCGGCGCTCAGACGGCTGCGGCTCATATTTATGTACCGAGCTGAAAAGTGTTCAGCATTTCTAATTTGCTCGTCGGGTTTCTGGAATAATTATAACGGCGGGTCTGTCGTATGGCATAATATAGTGCAGGAGAAATTAGATCGAACTCATACATGGACTTAAGAGCAGACAAAGAAATCAAAGCAGCTTCACTAAAACAAGAACATCAAATTATCAAAGTTATTTTCTTTAAATAATAAAAGAAATTTTTATGATCACTGACTTTGAATAAAAAAAAAATGCCAATGACTATTTTCAACTCTACAGTATAATACTTAAGTTTGATTTTGATTCCCCAATTGATTTGAAATTATGATTAATTCAATTTTTATTCCTAACAAATTTCAAAGCTATAAATTTATTAATAACTAAATGTTTATTTTAGTAGGAACCAATACAATAACAACTTTTCTTATACTTGATGAATAAAAGAATTGATAAAAAACGTCGTCAGAAATTGTAAATTAATTTTGTGATAAAAAAATCAGGCTCAGTTAGCAACAAAACTAAAAATAAATTGTGTGTAGTGCAAATTTCTGCAGAGTTTTCTAGAGAAAAATATTTTTGGTAAAGCAGCTGAAATTGAACTATTTATTATGGTCATTTTTTTTTACTAAAAATTTTATCTAAAAAATTTATCGCTTTTATTTGCTATTTTAGGCGCTTTGAATAAAATGCGTGCTCATTTTTTTTTTCTTTTAAAGTCAGCGTGCAGAAGGTTTTCTCTGGAAACTTGATACTTTTGTGGTGCAAATGTGCCTGGAGAAGATTTTGGAGCAGGCCGGGTCTTTTAAAAAGTTACAAAAAAGTCGTGCGGCTCAATGGAAGCAGCAGCATCCGTGGACGAGAGAATCTATTTTACACGCATGATGAGGCACAACTTCTCACACCTGCTTTTCCATTTTGGCTTTTTACAATCGCGTCCCGTCATCTGCCAGCAGCTTATGTGCATTAGAATGGAGAGCTGCGTGCACGCACACACAATGTTCGTATCATATATAATATGGACGAATGAAAGAAAGAAAGAGAAAATAACATATAATAAATGGCTCTCGGGCGGCTGCAGGATTTTGGGATGAAAAATCAGACCGGAAACCGACCCTCACCTCTCTCATTCATAAAAGTAGCAAGAAGTGCAACACATTTCGAGCTGCTGCTGTTGGTAGGTAACCTTCTCTTTCTCAATGAAGCAATAAATACACACACGGCAGCAGCAGCAGCAGAGAGAGAGGCCTGCTTTTATGAATGGCAAAAGTTTCACACACACGCTCACTCTAGCAGCCAACGAGCGAGCGAGCGACCTGCTACATAATAATAATACGCCAAGAGAGTGTGTGTGTGTTTTGATAATGTGCATAGAGAAAAAAATAAATGATGAAACACTGCTTCATTCATGCTGGCGTGAAAAACGTGCGCTCTACTCCAAGTAGGTTGCAAACAATTATAATCCCACCACCGCTCTCTGCTGCACATCGCGGAGAAAAAGAAGCATCGCGGAGAGTTTACAGGCTCCATAAAATTATAAATGAGAGAGCAAAAAAGGAAGACCCGCGCGCTCAGATAAAGCTTAATTGCCGAGAATTATACTTGGAAATGGCCGGTTTTTCGGCGGCTTTAATGGGGCATTATCATCTTCTTTCGTATTCCTCTTTGTTCTCTGCGCGCGTTTTCGGGGACGATTTCTATAACAATGTGGGAAGAATGCTGCCCGCACTGCCAATGGCTTTGAATGGATGCCAAAACGGGTCTGCGAATTGCGAAATTGTGTCACTTGCAAAATGTGAACGCGGAATCTTACAAATTTTTTTTAATTAAATGAGAGATAATGAGGAAATTGTTGAATTCTAAATGTACATCAAAATATTTTGGTATAATGTGATCCTGCTGGTAAAAGTTATTTTTATCTGTTACAACTAAAACGTTGATCCATAATTTTGAATGGAAGCAATAATTTAAAATGTAGTTTCACTGTAATAGAAAAATTGCAAATCAAGTGTGTGTGCATAAATGCATAAATTAATTCGTAGGTTTGGTGAGGAAAATATACAATCCAGAGTACGTATCTATTTTACGAATTTTTTTTTCAATTTGGTTTGCGGTTATAACTTAAAAAGTAATAAAATAATTTCCTTATATTTTTACAATCAATTTGTCATTGCAAGTCGATTTTATGTAACGCCAAAATAAAAATATTTAAGATTAATCGAACAATCTAATTTTTTGCTCTCATTAAATTTAAGTGGTAAAAGCGAGATGATTTGTCAGATTTCCTCTCAAAGCCATCCAAGCTTGAAAACATCGGCACGACTCGTTCGATTTTATTTTCATTTCTTGGCAGCTGACTATGAGAGAGCGGCTCATTCTCATCAATGACAAACCAATTTCCAGGATATTGCATAACGCCCATAGTCTCGCTCATTCAGTCCGACAACAAGAAGAATGCATGAATGGATGGCCTTGCGTTCCTCAACAACACACGAAACGCAGAACCAGCAGCGCCGAGAGAGATAAAAATTATACTTGAAAACTTTAATTGCACACGCTTGAGTTTCAAGCCGCGCGATATAATAAAAACGCGCTGCGTATCATTTAATGTTGAGCAAAAAAAAAGAGCTCCAAATTACGGTCCATAAAGCGAAACGCACGCACTCTTGGCGTTTATTATTCTCTCAAGTTGAATTATTCATATAATTAGGTCGTTATTATTTTTAAATTGTCCACGCAAGAAGGAGAGCAATAAAATTATACAAGCAACATTCATTGATTGGGCGCTTTGATGGGAAATCAAATAAAATTGTGATTTTCGATCTTCTTTTAGGAATTAGTGTGTGCGAGCTTGTCTGTTATCATCGTTATTATTTTGAAATAAATGGTCGGTGGTGAAGAAAAGCAGCGAGTTGTTGAGAAAGAAAATACGAATGTGCCTTAGGTCGTCACGCATCACGCTTGCATTCACTCCGGCCTGCATTTCAGGAGGGCCAGGCACTGCGCTTGGTTGATGGCATAAGAAGAAAAAGACTTTGATCAAATAATCACTAAAGGGATCCTTTGTGCTTGCAGAAGAAGGCACTTCTGTTTGCCAGCGTCTAATTACCATACACCCACTTGGCTAGCCGGGTGGCGCGGCAGGCGAAACAGCCTCCCCTTCAAACTTTTGTTTTTACTTGGAATAAAACTCAAGTCTCTTATTCTCTATTTGTGGGGATTCTCAACATGTGAGTGTGTGCTGTGCATTAACACAAATGAGAGATAAAAAGAGGCAAACGTTATCAACCGTGGTCAAAGCTCACAGTGTTGTTCTTCTTTTGATAACCTAACTCTCAAAAATCAACCAAGCGCAGCAAACATGGATTACTTTGTTCAATGACAAGTTTGCACCATGTCGTAGGCTCAAAATAGTTTTTCAGCAAACATTGAACTTGACGTAATAATAGTAAGGATAATAAACATAAAAGAAAATTTTGTACTCACCTCCTTTGATTGGACGCAAATTGGAGTTCCAACGCAGACTATTCCGTCTTCGACAATCACACCCATCACAATTGGGTCTCTCGAATTGAAAATGTACTGAAAGTAAATTAAACTTTGAAATTCTGCAGGTTTTAATAAAATAAATTAATTGACATATTAAGGGAAGAGTAGCAAAATTAATTATTTTAATTTTACTGCATCCAATTGATAACTTTTTCAGTTATAATTATATGAGACAAGAAAGAATAAGGGCTTAATTTGTGCACCTGTGGCAAGATCTTCAGTTTGCAAGGGAACACGGCTACATGCTTGTTTTGTTGACGCAGTTGCTGCCTCAATTGCTCTCGATGGGCTGTGAACTGGTCGAATAGATGGTAGATGATATCAGCCTGGAAGATCTTCACTCCTAAATGATCGGCCAAGTCTTGGGCATCACGCTCAACCTTCACATCAAATGCCAGAATGGTGCCGTATCTGTCGTAACAAACAATGCGTTAATATGTATATCGTGCGCTTGGTTTCAGTGAGGGCAAAATATAATTCGGAGAAAGGACGGGTAATTAGAGGAATGCTGAGTGGATCATAGTATCGTTACACATGAATATACTCACTGGCTCTCTCGTTCTAGCATGGTGCTTGCTCGCATTACATCCTTCTTTACCACGGGCCCAATTTTTACACTGGAGTACTGCAATTATAAAATGATGATGTTTCAGCTATAAAAAAATATATCTTACTCATTAGAAAGATTTAATACTAAATAATTAGTATAATTAAAAAATTTGGTCTTCACAACATCTAGAATTTTAACTTTTGAGAACAAATTCTTTTGTAATTTTTTATTAATTTTACCAAATTTCAATTCACGGGAAACGCGTGTTTTCCTTTCCAATTAGCGACACCCCCTGTTTTCTATTTAAATAGGCATGGGAACAATAAGGCAGCAGCTACTTGAGCGTTTGTTTCATCATTGCCTTGGCGGCTGCTTGGCATATCAATTCGGAATTGAAAATTTGGTCAGAGCCGTCATTGGGCGGGTTATTTATTGATCCACGAGCGTAGCGGGTGAGAATGAGCGGCACGATTGCGTATTCGGAGAGCACAGCGCCAACTTCCGTCTTTTCCCTCATTATTTTGCAGGTTGCGAGCGGCGAATATCAATTACAGTTTTAAGCATTAATACATAAACATATTCTCACTCTCTCGGCGCAAAACAATAAAATAATTTGCATTAAATGTTGCGTCGCCACGCAGCAGCAGCAGCCGCCTGATGTTGAAAAAAGTGAGCGCATGCATATATAATAAAGCTTAATGGCAGCTGCTGCTGGGAAAACATTATTCAAAATAGCGTGTGTATTTTATTATATTATCATGTGTGCTCTCTGCTAACATCATTGAGTTACAATAAATAAGGCGCACGTATGTAAATGTGCACGCATGAGGGCAGGCAGGCACGACGACAGCAAAAATAATTGCATCACTCTGTATATTATGTACTTATTGAAATTACACCAACGCAGCAGAATTAATTATTTTCTTGACCTTGCTTCGGTCAAATACTCAATGGAGCTCGTTTCGTTTGAAAATATTGATTTCAATCTCGACCTGATTCATTTGCTATAAACGATGACACAGCTTTCAAGGAAGTCCCAACCAAGTGATAAAATATGGAACAACACTCTTTACCATTAATTTAATAGCATAATATGCATGGTTGCTAGAAAATAAATTATTTTAAAAGGATATTTATATGATGACTAATTTATAGTTTTTGTAATGGCCTTCTCAAATAATTCCTCCGTCTTAATTTATATTGATAAAATAATGAAAATTTATAACAAAGTCTCAGCCAATAAAAACTACATTTTAGGTATTAATTAATTGTCTTTCTCAAACTAAAATCCAATGACTTTGATGACTATGTTTCTAAGGCACTTTTTTTCTTTTAATTATTTATGAACAATATAGAATATAGTTAGATCTAGATATCAATATGAACCTTGCTTCAAAATTGGTTGATAGGGCCGTTCATGCATGGTCTCGGCTTTCCCTATCCACCCCCGCACGATTACCCGCCCACGTTGGGCGACAAGCTTTTCAAGCCAGAAAAGTTCGTTTTACAGCAAGCCATTCAAATAAAAAAGTGACATGTTTTTAATCCTATTTGTGTCTACCAAATTTAGAGAGAAGCCTTTCCACTGTGTTTTTCCCTTTTAGCTTTTAGCCCTGGCACGTATAAAAGCATCAGATTGCCGCACTTTTTAATAACGGGTAGGCGCCGTTCAGAACCCAGCGGGGGCGTTTCATGAATGAAGTTGGCGGGCGCAGACATGCCCACGCCGTCGTTTTCCACCCACAACCCGCTGGCATAATCACCCTGGTTGCTAGCTCTGAGCTGCACACCCACGCTTGCCAACGAGGGCGGAAAGAAAAGCAGTGGTGGGTAGAATGAATGAATGGAGGAGGGTCGCCCCCGCGCGCGATCCCAACTTTCGGGCGGCATTCTTGTCAGGTGATAAAATGAGAGATAGCACCCACGTGATTTATGGTCACAACTTTTGGCATTTCCTGCGCGCCAATGCTCCCAAGGGTGGTTTTACCGTCACTATTGGAATTTTATCAGACAGAGTTCTTTGACTCGCTGGCTGAAATGGCTCAGACTTTTTATGACCCCTTATTGTCGCAGTGGATTAATTGTTGTTTTCGTGGACTTATATTAGACTTTGCCTAGCTATTTTCAGACGCTTCTGGCTTTATTTGTGCCAAGAATTGTAAACACCGAGTAAAAAGCATTAGCTTTTGTTTTCCCTGTCAGAGTGGTGCCAAAAGAGATAATATATATATTTCAAGACAATGAATAAATTATGAAATGAAATTAGTTCTTAAAGATTTATTAAAACTTACGGGAATCTTTGAGTCCTTCAAGAATTCCAGAAGGGCCTCAAGAGAGCCCAGAGTTGAAGCTTGGACAAGGACGCCACGGTCTTGCAGTTTGATTCTTCCCAGTTCACGGGCTAAGTCTCGAACAACCTCTTCTCTGCAAATTTCAATCTCTTCCGGACCCTTGGCCACCAGAATATTTAACCCTACATAAAAATTACATTTCAGATAAAGATTGCACTGAAAAATTACATATCCGTACCAGCAATAACTTTTTCCAGATCTTTAGCAGCAATTTTTACTCCCTGAGCAGCAACCACTTCCTTGTATTCTATGTAATCGTTCTGAGGAAAAAGAAGCAGAAAATTTAAAAATCTATGATGATACTAAAAAATTTGTCTTAACTACCTTTACACGAAGCTCCTTCATGGGTTGTGGCATGAGAAGTGACCTGATCTGTGTAACGACAGCCCCGCCATCTGAGGCAGCCAACACAATAGTGTCACCCTCCCGAATGCGACCATTTACTAAAATGCAATCAATTGTTGTTCCGAGACCAGTGATCGCTTTAACCTCTAATACTGTTGCCTGTGAAAACAAAAATTTCAGTAACAGTAAGAATATTACAATGAGTTTCAAACCTGCAACTCTTCGCTAAACATAAGTCTTTTGGTTAACATGCTCTGGCAATTGGTAACAAGCAGGGCCAACAGGTTTCCCATGCCTTCACCAGTGATGGCACTTGTGGGAACCAGGGATACATACGACCTGGGATCGGGATTATCATAAAACAGTGCGGCGTTCATACCCTGGAGAGAAAATTTAATAATAATAGGAATTAGTCCAGGTATCAAATGTTACCTGTTCTGCAAATTGTAGAACCACTTCCTTTGCTCTGCGCTGAAATTCGGCTTGAGTGTTTGACGCCTGAGAACTAATGACATCTCGAATGTCTTTTCTACTAACAGTGGTCCAGTCGTACAGCCTAAATTGAATTCATCATTGATATAATATTAAAGATATAAAAATAAATTTGTTACCTATCAATTTTGTTTAGAGCAACCACAAATGGTGTCTTCTTTGCTTTGAGCAAATTGAGGGACTCGATAGTCTGCTCCTCCAAACCATGCATGATATCTACAACCAAAATTGCCATATCACATAGAGAGGAACCTCTGGATCGAAGATTGCTGAATGAAGCGTGGCCAGGTGTATCAATGATCAAAAGGCCAGGAAGTTTGAAATCCATTTGCGCGTACTGTTAAAAAAATATTTGTTAACGTGTCATTTAGCTAAAATAATGTTTACCCCTTTGACAATTTTTGTTTGCTCCTTTATGTTTTCAATCGGCACATTTGTGGCACCGATTTGTTGTGTAATTCCACCAGCTTCTCCAGCCTGGACACTTGTGCGTCGAAGCTTGTCCAAAATTTTAGTTTTTCCTGTGTCTACATGGCCCAGTACGCAAATAACAGCCGCTCTCAAGTTTTCAGGCGTCCGATTTTTCTCCGCATCAGCCCTTCGTTTCTATTTAACCATTAATGCAGGTAACATCACTTAACTTTGAACAAAATTAGTAAGTACCTGAATGCGAGCCACAGCCTTAGCTCTTTTTTTCTCAGCATCAGTCATGTGTTCCAGTTCCTCGTCATCAGTCTCGGATTCAGATTCAGACTCACTTTCCTCTTCTTCTTCTTCACTGGAACTTTCTTTCTGCTCTGTAGGCTCAGGCAGTTCTACTTTAGCTTCAGGCTCAGGTGCCTTTTTTACTTCTTCAACTGAAATATTAAATCAAAAAATTGGAAACCTGGTATTTTGTACAAGAGGGCACAGAAAACGTTTTAAGACAAACAAGCACTCCTTGCACAATTTAAAAAAATTAATTAAAAAAAAAAATAAAAAAAAAAAACATGGAGTTCATAAAATTATACAGCAACATTCATGCATATGATTATAAAATAATGAAAAACAATACACAATAGACATTGAAAACCAAGTATGAGACCAAAGTTGGCAAAGTTAAGCAGTCTCAGCTATTACTTTTTTAGCAAAACGTTTTTAAATGCAAGTTGATCTCAAAACTACCTTAAAATAACTTGGGTAAGTAAACCGTGCTCATGATTAAAATTTATGAAAAAAAAAATAATTTAACAGCAAAAGACTAAATTATTATTATTTTCAGACACTTTTGATTTACCTCGTTTCTTTACGTGTTTATGCTTGGAAGCTTGAAAAAACCAATATGGTAAGTTCAAAATCCCCAAAACTATTGTAACAAAAAAATATATACCTTTGTTCTCCGATTCATTATCAGACTCTAGATCCCAAGAGTCCTTGACTTCTTCTACAGGAGCAGCAGTTTCCGCATTTCCTGTTGTATTCTGCTCTTTCCCCTGAGCATCATCATTTGCTTCAGAAGACGCATCTAGTGATAAAAATATTTTCAGGTCAGGGATGTTTCTTTTTTGAACCAAATGTACCTTGCTGCTGTTGTTGTTGATTTTTCTTATTAGGTCGGATTCTCGTCCCTGGTCTAACTTTCTTTTCACCAGCAGCTGGAGCAGAAACTCCGAGCGCCTCCAACATTGCTTGGGCACGTGCCCTGTCTGCTTTTTGCTTCGGTGTAAGTAGTTTGCCCTCAGCCTTGAGTCTTTCTTTGCGTTCTTTCTCCTTCTGCTTTTTCTTCTCCTTCCGTTCCAGTTCTTTCCGCTCAGCTTCAAGACGAACCTCTTCTTCAGCCTGAAGTCTTTTCTCCTCCTCCTCGGCCAAAATTCTCAAACGCTCCTCTTCCTCCTGTTGTTTACGCTGCGCCTCCTTCAGTGCTTCAATCATTTTATTTTTCTTCGATGGCTTTTTCTCCTCCTTGGTGTCAACAGCACCCTTCTTGCCCTTTTTCTTCTTGCCTTCGTCTATTTAATTTATATCTTAGATTAATTTGCCATTGAAATATTTGTATACACTTACCATCAACTTCTTCTTCTTTTTCCACCTCCTCAGCAGTAGGTTCTTCGGCTGGTTTAGAAACTTCGTCCGGTTTCTGTTTAACAAATCAAAACACTGGTGGTGACTCATAAAAAATGTTAACGTGCAAAATAAAAAAATCAAGCTTCCAGGAAAATTTATAAATACATCATGAATTATTTTGTTCTTTAAGAGCTGGTTTTTTATTGTTTATTTTAAAAAACTACTTACTGTTTTCTGAGCCTTTTTGTTAGCTTTTTCACGTTCTCTCTTTTCTCGCTTTTTCTGAGCCGCAGATTTTACTGTGCTTTGATTTTCACCACCTTCCTCAGCGTCTCCATCTTGCTCCTCGTCAGCCTCAGCTTGAGGCTCTGCCTTTACTTCTTTTTTCTTGTCTTTTGGCGCACCAGCCTCTGGAGTAGATTCTCTAAATTTTGAACAATTATTTTAGTGACATCTTCAAATACTTGTAAAATTACTTTTCTCCAGTATACTCCATCTTGAGCTCTGCTAGCATTTTCTCAAGCTCCTCATCACTGTCTTCTTTCTTTTTCTTCTTTTTGCCCTTCTTTCCAGCCTTTTGTTTTACCCCTTCCTCCTCATCGGAATCTACAGGCTCCGGGTCAGGCTTTGCTTTTTTGCCTTTCTTGCTGCTCTTTGCCGGCTTTGTTTCTTCTTTTTCTTCTTCTTCAGAGTCTTCCTTGTCATCGTCATCGTCTGAAGCCTGAATCATGTCGTCGTCCTCAGCAGCCAGCAATGCAAACCCCGGCTTTATGTTGGCCTTCTATAAACGTAAATGCTTTGCATAAGATTAGAGTTATTTACGCAGGATATGTTGAATAATGACAAATATATTAGTATTGACTTGGTGAGACCTAAATAATTTAATTTCACCTTTTTCGTCTTGTTCTTGGACGAGTTCCCCACTTCTTCGGCCACATCATCGACCTCGATATCACTGTCGTCACTCCTGTAAACAAAAATATTTAAAACATTTAGACTTTATTCCTTGTCTTATCTTATTGCACGAGTAAATGAAAGATCAAGAATTATGTCCTGGTTGCACAGATATGTGCAAAATTTTTGTAAACAAAAAAATAAACATCACGGATTTGACAGGGATATGAACATAATATCTTACCAGAGGTACCATTAATATTGGATATATGTAGTTTTCTTAATATATAATGAGCCTCCGCTAACAAATAAAAAGGAAAAAGCGAGGAATAATTTTAGAATATATTTATCTGCTTTCCAGCTGTGAAACATACCCATCCTTGACAGCCTTCTTGCCGCGCTTGGCCTTCACCATGACGGTGTTTTGCCCGTTTCTCCGTCCACGAAAACGTTTCTTTCGAATCCGCCAACTTGCACGGATTAATCAATGCACTCGCGGCGAATTTGGCAAGCAATTTGCAAAAATGTGTTGACGATAGCGGTCGGCGAAAGCAGCAGAACAGAAACAACACGTCTTGTTGAGCAGGTTTGAGATCGAGCAGGGAGAGAAGACACATGTGCAACACCGACGACAGCGCCTCTACTGGAAACTTCTACTACCTGAGTACCTGCGACCAACCTGCGACCTAGCAAAATTTAATGCTTAATTCGCAATTGAAAAAAAAAATGATATTTAAGATGAAAATTAAATTTTTTTGTTTTAATGAAATTTAATTGATTTAAAACACTTATAGCTCCTTCAATGGAAGCAATGCTAGACGCGCAAAAATGTAATTTATTTCCCGCTCCACGGTATGTAATTCAAATATTTCAAATGACAATCGCCGAGCGCAGGCCCTAAAACTCTGACCCGCCCACATTTTCCTGCTGATGCTTCGCGAATTTTAGTATTATTGAAATCCTGCTGACACATGCGATGGCGTCAACCGGCTCAGTGAAAGATGCGACTAAATATCTTGCTACCCAGCAGGCCGAGTCTCCTCCGGAGTTGGCCGCCGAATGGGCGAATCTTGAGGAACTCTACAACAAAAAGTAAATCACAAAATTTCAATGCGATCGTCTAGTTTTGGCTGTTTTGCAACCAAAATGTGATGTTTTTGTTATGCCAAAGACACTTTCTCAATCGTTCTTTTTATTGTAATTTTATTTTTTCCTGTAGCGTTTGCATTGCTAATAAACAAATCTTGGCCTAAGCGATTCATTTATGTGTGCATATTTCAGACTGTGGCACCAAATCACCCTTAAGCTGGGCACATTCGTCAAACACCCTTTTCTTCAATCAGGAGACAAACTCATCCAGCTCTACAGCAACTTCATCCAAGGCTTTGAAAACAAGTATAAAAATGTTATAAAACTACTAAATTAAAAAATCCTCAATTTCTGTTATTTCTTTTTAGAATAAATCCACTAGCTCTGGTTGAGATCATTGCGATCGTTGTGCAGCAGTACGAGAACTCAAAGGATGCAGTGGCATTTTTGCAGCAGACGGAGCCTAAAGTGCAGTCCTGTGCAGAGGCAGTGGCCTTGTGCAAAGTTCTTGCTGGAAGCATTTTGTTAAACAAGCTCGAGGATCAGGCTGGCACAAAAGTATTTTTTTTTTTGGTCTCAGTAAAAATTTTCTAAAATATAAATCAACCTGTAGAAAGTCATCGACGAGGTTGGAAAGCTTCTGGACGATGAGGACGGTGTGACTCCAGTGCATGGCCGCTACTATCAGTTGGCTAGCGATTTGTACAGACTGCAGAGCAACTATGCCGAGTACTACAGAGCCTCATTGCGTTATCTCGGCTGCTCCGAACTTGATACCCTGTCTTCCGAGGACAAAATCAACATAGCTGCGTTTCTCGGACTTGCTGCTCTCCTTGGAGAAGGAGTCTATAATTTTGGAGAATTGGTAATTTTTTTTTTAATGAAGCTCAAAAATATTAACTAGATTTTGCAGCTTGCCCACCCTGTTCTTGAGTCATTGGAGGGCACCCCTGCAGTTTGGATTAAGCAATTGCTGATTGCGTTCAACCAAGGTGACATTGCCAAGTTTGAGCAGATGAGGCCTAGTTGGGAATCAATGGGCGATCTCGTAGCACATGAGAAGCAGCTACGTGAGAAAATCACCCTCCTCTGTCTCATGGAGGTACATTTCTAAGTTATGTTGTTGACTTTGAGACGTGTCGTTTTCGTAAAATTATAGATGACCTTCAAACGTCCATCAAACAATCGAATTCTGACGTTTGCCGAGATCGCCAAAGAAACTCAGCTCCCTGTTACTGACGTTGAGTTTTTGGTCATGAAGGCGCTGTCTCTCAATTTGGTCAAAGGTGCGATTGACCAAGTCTCCCAAAATGTGCACATGACCTGGGTGCAACCTAGAGTCCTTGACAAAAATCAGGTATCTACCAATTTAAACTTGCTATGGTGGTTTTGCAAGATCTTTACTTTTGTAGATCAACGGAATGATTCAGCGCCTCAACGCTTGGTGCAACGACGTCAAGTTGATGGAAAATCTTATGGAAGAAAAGGCTCATGAAATTCTCACTCTTTAGTTTAAAAGTATTTGTTTTTGCTTATTCTTGTAAATTAATTTAATAAAGATACAATTCAAACTTATTTTGTCCACTCCTCAAAACTGATGACCTGAATTCATAGTCAAATCTTAGTGTATGTTACATTTGAATATTCAAAGTAATTAACCAGATTTCGATGATAGCTCAATTGCATAAGTTAAGGGTGGTGGTTGAAGAGCCATGTTCCGTAGCATGCACAGGTCTCTTGCTGTTTCGCGGCGTCCGGCGGAAGTGCTGGTATCGTAAAGTTGAAGTAACAGTTGAGAGCTGAACAGATCGGGAAGGGAGCTCAAGAGGTGTGGCACTAGTGTGCTAGGCATCACTTGGAAAACAATGCGTGCTTTGTCCTTGCCACACAAAACACAGAACTCCAAAAAGTGGAATAGGAAATGCTTGTGCTGGGTTATTTTGCCATCAAGGGCGATAGCGGAGAACGTCTAAGAAAAGTGAATTAGTTAAAGATAATTTTAAAAAAATGATTTTCAAATTTACCTCAAAAAGTTTCAGCAGGGCAGTTTTCAGAGGCTCTCTGATGGCAGGCAAACTGGATGAGTTGCTTGTGTCTTCACTGCAAGCGGCCTGATTTGCACTATTGGCAACGAACATCAAACTAGCACTTGCTTCACTTTGAGAATCAGTGGAGCCCAGTCGCAGCATTTTGGCTGCAGGCACCATGCTTTCCAAATCCTTGTAGAAAAATTATTAATTTGTATAATATAAAATTATGTTTGTATAAGTACCTCTGCGTCGCTATACATTCGAGCCCTTTTCCGTGTGCTGGGTTGTCCGGGAACCGTATTGCTGCCAAACTCGAGGGCAGCAAAGATGCAGTAAGCACACAACTGGGCTATCGCTGATGCTTGTGGTTCAACAAGATCAGAACCCCTTTTGAAAAAAAATAAATATTTGCGTAATTAATGATTAAGTGCAGAGCATACTGGTTTTTATTGTGCAAATATGCTGGCACAAGATGCTGAACCAAAGCAAGTGTGCAGAGCTCAATATCTAGATGAAAAATGCCAAAGGCCAAGTCAATGGCCCTGCTCAATTCATCACTGTATCTGTACTTGAGGACTTCCTAAAAAGAATTATTTTTTCTGATGATGAAATCTTAAATTGGAAGTCACTTGCCTTTATAATGTTTGTGACGAACCAAAGAGACCCTCCAGTATGCAGAAGTGACTCCAAAGTTGTGGTTGCTTCTACATTTATCCAACCTTTCTTGTGGGTATTGGTCCAGACGCTAACCAACTGCTCGCTTATAGGCAGTGAGGACACAATGCTGGAAACAAATATTAGTTTAATTTTTCAACATTGATTTGCAACAGAGTTTACTTGTGCGACAACTTGGCTTTGCTGGCAGATGGTGGGTGTAGATCATATTGCATTTTTCTGATAATTTGGAACATCAGATTTGACCTCTCTTTGTAATTGTCCTGCTGGGGCATGTCGTCAGTCGGAGATAAGAACTGCTGTACCATGTTCATCGGCTTAAGCAGAGCATCCTGGTCCAAAATTTGCATGTAGCTACAAAGCCAGGATGCAGCACAAACTGGCAAACAGCCCATGCGAGATCTCATGCTGTCCAGCGCAGACTTTACGTCTGTCGGAGACAGAGCGCCCTGCTCCCATGCAAAAAGAAGTTCTTTGGTGGCTGCGGGGACGAGCAAGCAGACCTCGTGCCATTTAACTTGGCTGTTAAAATGATTGAAGAAAAATTAGCAATTTAAATAAAAAAGAAATATATTTCAAGCCATACTTTGTCTTAAATTCGGCATCAGGTGTGGTGAACTGTGAGAGGATTGATTCCAATTTAGAGGGGTCGCAGTTGTTAAGCATTTGATCAGGTGACTTTGGATGGCCTTTCTCTGCCATGCACTCGCTCACCCATTTCTCAAAAAAGGAATTTCCAGATGTGCCGTCTTCATTTAAGACAACCTCAGATCCATAAGACTGGAATAAAAATAACTTCAAAAAAAATTTAATATAGTTAAAAATAAAACCTGAACAATTGAGCAAAGCATGAGGAATGAGACGTCAAAGAGCATAGCTCTGGTTAGAGATCCCTTTCCTGAGGTTGCCTCATCAGCTGCAGGAACTCTACTCAGTTCGTTAAAATTGATCAGCTTGGAGACAAAGGTCCGTAGCTTGTCTTGCACTGTGGCAACGGCCAATATCAATTCAAAACTCTTTCCAGTCAGCACTTGAGAGAGCACTCCAAGAAGAGCATCCTGATGTTTTTAAATATAGAAAAATACAGTATGACATTTAAAATCAATACCTGAATTTTCAAATAATCAGAGTCCAGAGTCTTGAGAATTCTGGCCAGGGTGGGTTCAGCTCGTACAATCACTTTTGGTATTGTACCAGCAGCCTGATGGCTGTTCGGATCGATTTTGATGACCGCCGACACGGCTCCTTCCCTTTTTGCAGAGAAAACTTGTGCTTGCTTTTCAGTCATTAGACCAACCCTGTGCAATTCTGAGACAAGACATTCAACTACGTTGCAGTTACTCTTGACATCTAAGGTATCCAAAAGAGGAGTAAACTGAAACAGCAACTCTATTGCCTCAATAATATCTTGGGAAAAATCCTCTCCCGCTGTATTCCCTGCGTTGTATTATTTCAGTATTAAATTAAATTTTATTCAATTTGACTTAAAGAGCAAACCTTTCACTGTTGCGTTCAGTTTCAAGAGAATTTGGGGCAGTTTCAAAAATGTGAATGCGCCCCACTGAGACTCGTCATTTCCACCAAGAGCGTCTCGCAAACACAACAAACAGGCTCTCATTAATTCAGAACAGATTCGAGGAAAGTTGTATCCCTAGGGCATAAAAATTCATAAGATAATTCTACAATAAAAACGAGCTTGTCACTTTGAGCCGTTGAATTAGAAGAAGTTGATTGACGAAAAACTGGGTGTCAGCGCTGGGATTGAGAAGAACCTCAACTGCGAGCAGAGGCTGCAGACAGTATGTAACTGGCTCAATGGGGTTGTTTGTATCAACAGAAAATGTGCTTATCTCCAAAACCCTCAGCTGCTTCAATGTTCTATAAGTGGACATTAAAAATTCCATAAATTGAATCAAGAAAAAATACTTTAAAGTCTCTTCGACATTATTTCCCAAATTGATGCTTCCTGTTGCTGCTTGCGTCAGAGCATTTTCCAATTCTAGACATTTTGCAACAAATTCTCCATGCAAATCTAAACAATTTTATATTGATATAATAATTACAATTAATGAAAATTAAAAACCTTTGTCATCAAGTCGAGCCAGGCAAAACATGGCCTTCGCAAATTCGCATTCGAGAACTTTAGAGAAAAGTGCAGTTGATCTGACCAACATCTCTGTATGTTCCTGGCTTGTGCCAAGCTCGACCAACTTTTTATAAGCATGTAATGCTACATTTGTAAGCCAGTTTACTAGAGAAAGAACTGCCTTGGCCAAAGCTCCTTCTTCGGCTTTGCTTCGGCAAGTCATTCGACCCTGAATATAAAAATCATAACATTTAATTATAAAACTCTTCTGTTTTAAATGACATACCAGGATTGCATCAACCAGTTCCAAAAGACTGATCACACAGTGAGGTTTGTTGACTCCGTCATATTTACTGATTCTTTGTATAACAGCCGCATATGATACAAGCTGAAAATACATTTTTGTATCTATAAAATTTAGATTTAAAAAAGACAAACGCGTATACCTGTGAGCTAAGGGAGTGCTTCAAATATGAAAGGACGAGTTGGTTCGGTCCTGGGCCTACAAGAGCCTGTTGCAAAATACAGTCGGCCAAATTGTGAACGTCTCCACTCACCCCTCGAGGGAGAACCTATTCAAAATTTTATTATGAACTTTTGGACTAATCAAATTTGAAAAAAGGTATGTATTTTACTGTTTTGATCTGGATACCCCACTGCAGGTCATTCCACCTTTCTCGCCAGGCTCGTAGCAAAAGAGCCTGCAGACTGCTCGTTTTGCTGGTGATTTTCGTCTCCATCGCACCTGATAAATAATAGTGATAATAAGATTATTATAAAGAAGTTCGAACTGTTGGGAGTCCAGCTTTTAAATATAGCACTCATTTACCTTTCAAGGAATATATTTTCTTCGCAAGATCAGCGGTGTTTTTTTTTTAGATTTGTGTTGATAGCGGCACTTTACTTTTTCTCAAGCTTTTTCTGTTTTGATTTTTGTTAATTTTGTTTACGTCGGAGGATGGGGGACAAGGGGGACTACGGAGGAGAGGGGCTACAAACAAATCAAATACAAATGGCGCGAAAGCAACAAAATTTTATTAGTCCTCGTGCGCTTGATTTATTTTTTGTTTCATTTATTTTTTTAATCAGAGAAGCTCTTGAAAAAGAAAACAATAGCTAGTTTTTTTTTTATTCTCTTTTTTTATGAAAATAATTTAATTCAAATATTTAAGAAAATATAATTTTTTGTTTGCTAGAATTTTGTTATAATATAAATTAAAAACCAGAATAACCCGCAATTAAGAATTTTAAATTTTTTAAGGAATTTGTTATTACAACTGTCAACAAAATTCAATTTTTTTATGTATTTATCGAAATTGTCAAAAAAATGAAGAATATTTAAATGAAATCATTTTCATGGCACTTACTAAAAAAAATATAAAATAATAATAATAATGTAGAACCAGCAAAATTGAATGGGATTTTACATAGTAAAATAAATTTTAATTTTTAAGCTCAATAAATATAATTTTATTACAGCTTGTATGACGAGAAGGCACATCTTTGCACTTGGTACTAACTGACCAACAAGACATAATTAATCATGCACATTTTGTTTCGCAGTTTGCTTAGTTTTAAATCGATCACATACATTAGCCAATTTGCTTTTAAATCTTCTCGTGGAAACCAATGCCAGCAGCACAGTTAGTATGGTCGCACAAAGGTTCTGTTTTGTTTGTAACAATTTTGATAATTATATACCTACAACCTTGTATTCTAAAATATAGAATATTAATTTGATGCCCGTTTCACTTATTTTTTTTCTTCTTTATAATCCATAAACTTGTAATAATCATATACCTAGTAACGCGATTACCTTTTACTTCGATAATAATTATTATGCTATAAGAGTAATAGATTCGTTTTAACAGTTTTTGGTCTTTTCAATTAGCGCCGAGCGCGCACAAATGTGTTTGTATTAATTAATTCATAAAGTATAATAATGTTTAATAATTACATACTCCTCGCCTGCAATTTACATAGTATGCATATTATTATGTGGTAATTATAATTAATCAACAAATTAACTTCTACGCATTTAAGAAGTATGTGTCCATCTTGATCGGAGTGTGGTGCAGAGTGTGTTTATTTATGTGATTTTCGATCTGAATAACAATTTAGTAATACATCATCTCATCTTTGTCCCACAAGCAAAATAATTTTATTTCCCCGTGTAAGTTTTAATTGAATTAGTATAGGAACAATTACAAAAAATATACCAATATTTGTAATGTTTAATGGAATTTCACACTATACAATTTAAAAAAAAAATGATAGTTACAAATTTTACCCCGAACTTTCAACCCTTTTAAATAGAATTTCAACAGTGATCATAACAAACATAAAACCCACCAATTGATCAAAATAAAATACTTCAATTAATCCCAAAAAATTTAAAGACTTTTTGCATGTGTAAATGGAATATATTTCAAGACATAGCTTGTAGGGGAATGTGAAATGGACAGTGCTGTGGTCGAAGCCTTTAAATAAACGAAGCTAAAGTCAAACTTCACCCCTACGTATTCACAATCGAGTATTCGCACACCAAAAACCTCTAGCAAAAAATAATTCGCTGCTTAAAGACCAGCTCCATTAAACCAGCTTTTCTTCTTTTCTTAAAATTGTTTAACAATTTCTCTTTCAAATTTCAACGATTTTGTGACCCACAGATCCCTTAACAAAAACTCTAATTTTTTTAAACACTACGTTGGCAGAGGAAAATGAAACTAAATTTCAGTCTTAAAAAAAGATCAAGAGAAGGTTACTGAATCACTGCCGCTTGAACAAATGTGTGTCACAGGACCGGTGGGTCGGGAAGAAGCCCGATCGATACGAGGGCTAACACAGAAGCAAAGAAAATTTCAACAAAAAGAATTTCTGGTAAATAAATAACAAAAATAATTAACAATCTGCAAGCCAGCCGCACACGAATTGCTTGCTCCTTCCGCCGACAAACAAAAGCGACACAAAAATGTAAATTTCTGTTCAAATATATAAACTTCTTTTTCACTTGCACATCACAACCAGGTGACATTAAATATGTATTCTCGTCCTTGAATTGATTTAAGATGCCTAAAAATTAAGTCGTTCTTACTCTTGTTACAATCGTGTCAGAGTGGATCACATATTTATCATAATAAGTGATGGTTCTATCCAGTAATTTGTCAGTATATGGCATTGTTTGCTGTGATTGGAAACGATTTTTAATAATAAATAAAAGTAGAGCGTTCCTTTCAAGGAATGAAAGAAGCGCTGATGCTGCATAATAATTACGCTAGCATAACCTTCATTAGTTTAAAGGTGCACGTTAATACTGACTTTAAGAGATACACTAACGCTTTTAAAAACCCAAAAGAAAAATCGTCAGCAAGACCCTACCTTGTAAGTGTAATATTTTTAAATATCATAACCTGCAAAGCCACTTTCCGGCTACTCTAGATAATTCTGCGGAACAACAAACTCGATTTTTCTTTAGAATTTTTCATTTAAGACTAGAGTTAGCAATTTAAAAAGATTGGATCAGAAAGCGCGATTGGATTTGGCTATTTTTCCAAAGATTTTTAGAGTACAGAGTGAGTGCCTGTGTATTTAGTAAATATTCATTTTGCTCATAAAGGTGTAGCTGTATATATTTTACTTTTTAAGTATGATTCTGATCTAAATCTCGGACCGACTGTAAGAATAAAATTTAAAAAATATACTATGTCGTCGTCAATAACGAATAATTATGATGTTTGCATCGTTCTAGCTTGGCTGAAATGTATTTCATTTTTTTTTTAATCTATAATTAACATGAGTGTATCTCTAGCAATCGTAGAATGTGTTGCTGTAACCTCTGGATTAACGTGTTTTCTTTGCTTATAATCTTTGTCACTGATATGATAATTATGCAGTGTGTTACTCAGTTTAATGGATCAATCAACCAGAAAGAACCTACATAAATATTCATTGTATGCATTTTAGTTAATATAACTCTGCTTCTTAAATCACCTATGGTGCAGTAGTAGTTAAATTACATGGTTGAATCCATATATATTATTAATTATTATTCTCTCGTCTTTCCTTACTTTCTTAGTTTGCTACCACTCTTTCATAATAACCGATTCTTTTAGTTAATTAAGCTAAAATAATAACCGTACATAGTTATATTATATAACCATCATTAGTGAGGCACTGGAAGTTTTGTCATGCAAATAACTACTTTACGAAAAGCGATTTTTTTCCAAGTGTACTGTACATCTTGTCGTACTTTAGGGGCCTCCAATCCATCGAGCGACGCCGTGTTTGTAATTTTTCAGTCAGTCCCTTTCCTTTTTAATAAACACCAGAGCCCTTCATTGGTCACAAATGGTAATATGCAGAGAAGGAATGCTAAAATTTGAATAATTATCTCCCTACGTGCGAGGCAGCGTCAGGCTCGACAAGTTCCAAAGAAAAGAATAAAGTTTTTACTGTGCCTAAAAATTGTTACAAAAATTTCCATGATATGCAGAAAAATTTCTATAGAAATAAATTAAAAACATCAATATCTTTTGAGCTTGCATAAACTTTGGATTTCATAACAATTTGCTAGTCTCGAATAGAAACAATTCATTGCATATCTCTGGACATCTGTGTAAACCCTACTTGATAATTGAAGGTCTTTTAGAAATTGACATTAACCAAAAATTAAAAAAGACCCATCAAATAATTAACTGATTTTTTCTTTTTGAAAGTTTGTTCTAATATTCGAGTCTTGTGCCGCCTCGAGAGAGTTTCAGCTACTAGTGACAAGTCATTGGTGCGTCTTGCTGAGCAAATGTGAGTTAAAATCGTAGATGTTTGAGCATTGCTCACCACAGATATTACATTTCCATGGGTTACTGTCGGAGTGGCAGCCCTTGTGCAGGAAATAAAGGGTCTGATCAGGAAACACAATCCCACAATGAACACATTGACAGCAGCCGCCCCCGGGCATGCCGCCCCGCGGCGGCTGCTCCAAGCACTGCGCCAGGGCGGACGCCCGCCCCCGCCGCGGCGCAGAGGCCGCCCCTTCGTCTCGGAGCAGTGACTTGAGGGGTGACACCTTGATCAAGGACAGGGCGCTCTCCTGAAGCGGCTGCCCGTTGCTATCTGATGGCTGCCTCTCGGGGGTGGTAGCGGCGCCGCCTCCGCTCCCAGCATCCTCTTTCGGCTCTTGCTTAATTGGGATCAGGGAAATGGAGGGAGGCGGAAGGTCTGCCGCCGCCTGCTGCGCTGTGCTGGACGGAGTGTTCGAGTTGGACGACTGCGGCGAGGCGGATGGCGAGTTGGCGGTGCCGTTTGTCGAGCCCGGCCTCTGATGACTTAAATCAGCCGGAGGAGAGAAGCTGCCCCCAGAGTTGTGGAAGTTGGATCCACCTACAAAAAGAATATCTGTTTTTATATATTGATATTCAGGATATTCATTTAATGTTTTATATTTTTAATTTTTGTTTCTTTCCTAAATAGGCTAAATAATGCGTATTTAAACAAAAGGGAACAACTTTTGGGCTTTTGGATTGCCATTACTTTTTTTCATTTAAATCCTGGGCAAGTTAAATCACTAAAATATTAATCTATGATGTCAAATCAGGTAAGTGCTTTTGTAAAAGGGGGAATAAAAAAATATAAATTGAAGATGCGAATTCTCATATTTAACTGCTTCTTTAACTCTTATGCAAACATAGTGGGAATAAATTGTACGCCAAACTAATTACAAATTTAAATTTAAAGTCAAGTATTTGAAATTACCAGCTGGTGCCATGGAAATTTCGACGTGCGGAGCAAGGAAGTGAGGTGGGATCATCTGCATGGGCGAAGTGGAGTCCTGCGACCTGTCCATGTCGGACGGCTCAAATCGCAGGGCTGAGTTGGTGAGTCCAGGCGGCGTGGCCGGGTTGTCGAGGTCGATGCCGTGCCGGTTGAAGAAGTGGACCCTGAGACTCTTCATGGAGGTGGCGCGGTAGGTGCAGAGTGGACACGTCTTGACGACGTCGTTGTGGCCGACATGCTCGTTCTGGAAGTGGGCGCGCATGGCAATCTGCCGCTGGAAGCCCTTGTTGCAGATGGGGCAGTGGTAGGGCAGCGACTTGGTGTGGGTGGTGAAGTGTTCCATCAGGTGGTCCTTGCGGAAGAAGCGCTTCTGACACACCCGGCACTCGTACGGCTTGACGCCCGTGTGCCGCATCTTGTGTCGCCGCATGTTGGCCCCGTTCGAGAATTTCATGTTGCACACGTCGCACTCGAACATCTTGTTGCCGCCCCCGCCACCCCCGTTGCCGCTCCCGTTCGTCATCGGCCCGCCGTTGTCGCCATTATTGCCACCACCCCCGTCCTCTGATGTGCTTTGGCCGTGGCCCCCCGGGGGCGACGGCCGCTCATGTTCCTCCTCCAGTCCGGTTCCAGAGCCTCCGGCCGCCTCCTCAGCACTTGACCCACTGTCGTCGGCACCCACGTGTCTGTCCGGCTCTGTCATGGCATTCTTCTAGACGATTACTTTCCTGGAAAAATATTTAAAATATAATTAATTAAATTCAATCTTTATGAGTGACAAATAAAATAAAATAATAAAGATGGAAGGCATAGTAGTAGCTCTTTAATTAATTTTTTTTTTTTTAGGAAACTTCATTTAAATTGAAAATAAATTTTATTCTTCAAATATTAAGAAAATTAAGCAATTTTATGATAAAATATACATCGTCTGTTATTGCATGAATTGATTGGTTTGCTAAAATAAAATTTATTGACTCTCTTTAAAATAAAGACAGAAAATCAATTTCAGCACAAACATGTCACAAATTTTTTTCTGGAACGTCTATTAAATTTTTAGCAAAATTTATTGTAAACATATCATTATCAATTATAGATTTGAAAATTTGCAATTGCCAACAAGGGTCACATTGAGTCAGCCGAGCACCAGAGCATAATAAAAGCCCACGGATCGATGTCGAGTCCGACACGTCCCGTGAGTGGACCCTTGTCATCAAGGTCAGCAGGACGCTCAACCCAGCGGAACCATTTGAGAAAAATTTCGGTGGTCAAAGAGATGATCAAGTCCCAAAAAAATCGACTGGGAACTGCGAAACACCACCTTGCATGCATAAGAGGCGGTCTGACGTGGTACGAGAAAAGGCGCTGGGCCCGTAAATAAACAAAGACAGTCGTTCCGAACGGTGGGCACCACTTACGAAAATGGGCAGAATGTGCTTCCAACTAACAGGCGGACATCCCCTCGCGCTGCTGGCCGAAATTCGTCGGGCGCCTGGCCATAAAATCGATGCAAAATAACCTTGCCCGGTGGCAGATTGTTCCATTTACTCTGCCATCTTATAAAAAACAAGTGAAGGCGCGACCGCAGCTGACGCAGAGAAATGAGACGCGCTGCCGGAGAGGGAATTGCGGGGAGCGAACGGGAGTTGTGTTGCCGCTGGCTGGACGACCAAAAAAACGCATGTCCTAAGTCAACCCGTTTGGTTTCTGTTTCCAATTCGGACGCGGCGTCGTCGCAATGAAGCTGCTGAAACCGGCCTGGGTTGCCCATGAAGGTTCGATTGATTTTTATCTTTGTTTTTAATTAACCTACCCCAACAGTAAATTCAAAAACAAAAGAAGAAAATTTTGAACTCCAAGAATTGTATGTTTTGATGTTTATTATTTTCCAGGGCGTCCGATCTTCTCAATCGACATTCACCCTGATGGATCTCGATTCGCCACAGGTGGCCAAGGTTTGATTGGAATTTTTTATGTCAGTTTGAACAATTTTTTATTAAAATTTTCAAATGTTTTAGGTGAAGATTGTGGCAGGGTCGTAATATGGAATATGGCCCCTGTGCTCTCGGAGGAAGTGGAAAAAGATGAAAATGTCCCAAAATTGTTGTGTCAAATGGACAACCACCTTGGTAAATTGCTTGTAAATTTTCATGAATTAAAAATTTTAAATTTGCATTTTAACCAGCTTGCGTAAATTGCGTTCGATGGAACATGTCTGGCCGATATTTAGCTTCATGTGGAGACGACAAAACGATTTTGATCTGGCAACACTCTGGCTCAGGCGGCTCGGTTTTTGGCGGAGGTTCCACAGCTGAGTCCTGGCGATGTGTCTTCACTCTTAGGTCTCATTCTGGGGACGTTTTGGACCTTGCTTGGGCTCCTCATGACGCCTGGCTTGCTTCTAGCAGCGTCGACAACTCAATTATCATATGGAACGCCCTGAACTTTCCTGGTTTGTGAAGTTTAAAAAAAAAATTTATAATCCCAATTAATTATTTTTTAGAGGTGATCACTGTTTTGAGAGGACACAGTGGACTTGTAAAAGGAGTTGTTTGGGATCCGATTGGAAAGTTTTTGGCCTCTCAGTCGGACGACAAGTCCTTGAGAGTATGGAGAACATCAGACTGGAAGCAAGAAACGTCAATCACAGAGCCCTTCAAAGAAGTAATTTTATATGAACATTGAAACAATATTTTCTAAAATCCATTTGTGTCAAGTGTGGTGGGACAACGCATGTACTTCGAATGAGTTGGAGCCCTGATGGCCAGTATCTGGTCTCAGCTCATGCTATGAATGGTGGAGGACCCACAGCTCAAATCATTGAACGTGAAGGATGGGTCACAGACAAGGACTTTGTAGGGCACAGAAAGGCCATAACTTGTGTTGTAAGTATTTCTTGATTGAAAGTTATTTTCATTTTCAAATAAGACAATTATAAATTTAAATAATTTTTTCATTTTCTTTCACAGAGATTTAATGGCAACATTTTGCTCAAGTCACTGCCTCACTCAAACAAGCCTCAGCAGTACTGTTGTTGTGCCATAGGATCTAGAGACAGATCAATTTCAGTTTGGTCGACAGCTCTGAAGAGACCGGTTGTGACCATAAAAGAACTCTTTAACGATTCTGTTCTTGACTTGTCGTGGAGTGCCAGTGGTTGTGTCTTGATGGTTTGCTCGTGGGACGGCACTGTTGCATGTGTGGAGTTTGAAGAAAAGGAAATTGGCAAGGCATTGAGTGCTAGCGAAAAAGTTTGCAAACAATTTTTCTCTAATAATTTATTTCTGACTAATGAAAATTTGTAACGCAGAAAGCTCTACACGAGAGAATTTACGGAAAATCACTGTCAGTTCCAAACTCTCTCACTTCGACTACCATAGTGGAAACTCCTGAACTGCTGGCAGTCAGAGAATCTCAGCGACAGCAGCAAAACTCAACCCCAACAAAAGTCAATTCTGTCAGTAAGCCCAACACAAATATTCCGTCTCCAATGAGAGGGCCAAGCAAGCAGATAGAAACACGAACTTCAGACGGCAAGAGAAGAATCACACCTATGTTCATACCAACTGTCGTTGACAATGGGTAAGAGAAAGATTTTTTTCCATTGGATGGGAAGTTAAAAATAAAGCCTTAATTTTTCAACAGAGAGGCACCCCAACCTTTCAGCTCATCTTCGCAGCCAACCTTCAGCAGCTCTACAGAGACAACGAGTAAAATAGTCATTGAAAAACGTGAGGACATCATAACGCCCAACGTGAGCAAACCTTCAAACCAAAAACCACAATCTCAGGAAAAGTTGGAATCGGCTTCACCGAGCAAGTCGATGGATGTAGATCAGACACCCCCTAAACCTCCTCCACCAAAACTGATTGAAACTCCAGAAAAAGTCAACGGCTCTGCCTCAGATAGCATGGACCAGCCGACCCCACTCACATCAAAAGTCGACAAGCCAAGGTATTTTCTGGAAAATTGAACTTTGCATTTATTTTAAATTGTTAACCATTAATATTTTTGAAGTGAATCAAAACCAGAGGAAGCTCCAAAGGTTGAAGATAAGCCGAAGGAAGATAAGCCAAAGTCAGAAGAAAAGATAGAGAAGACTCCATCCGTGTCGTTTCAAGATAAACCAACAGAGATCAAAACCAAAACTGGAAAAAGAAGAGGCCGACCACCTCTGTCTGAAAAGGTGGACCGTCTTGAAAAGACTGAGAAAACTATTGCCACACCTGCAGCACCTGCACCAGTACAAACACCAGCTGCCCAATCTCCTGCAAAACAAGTTTTGGTTGTGGCTGAGAATGAGTTTAAATTGCCTGCACTCGGCATAGACAAAACTTTGAATGTGAAGGTATGAGTTGCTCAATCAATTTGAATATTTTGACGTAAGAAATAAAATGTTGAATTTTTAAGGTGTCTGGATGCCTGGGGAAAGTACTGACTGTAGAGAATTCTGCAGTTGCAAGCTCGTTTGGACCTCTGAATTTGGTGAAATGTTATTTCAGCAACAAGAGCCCTAATGACAAGGGGTAAATTAAACTTTATTAACTGTGAGAGATAAATAATTTAATTATTACAAAAGCTCTGATTGGGAGGCAGTTTTGAGCAGCAAAGCAGTGGCAGCAGGTTGCAACGCATTTTTATGTGCAGTGTGTTGTGAAGATTGCACGTTGATAGTGTTCGAAACAATGCACGGACGAAGACCTCTCCCTCCTCTGCAGCTATCTGGTAGACCATCGAGGCTCATTGTCAGTCGTGGCCACATTTTTGTGTTAACTGTGAAAGGAATGCTCAGCGTATGGGACGTACCAGCAAAGAAGGCAGTCTTGGTTGATAAATCCATAACACATTTGCTGGATAAAAATGGTATTCTGATCTTTTTAATTTAGATTCTGAACAATTTATAAATGGCTATCTATATTTTTCAGCGTCTGTCGTCAGTTGCCAAGTTATGGAAAACGGAAACCCTGTTTTGACACTTTCGACAGGAAAATTGTACCTGTACTGCAACCAGCTCAAAGCATGGCAAGAATATTTTTGTCAAAATTGAATGACCCTCAATTTTATAATTATTCCAAAGGACTCTCCTCGGAGATGGACGAGATCCTGTACAGCAGAGCTCCAGCCACCTTTTGTACGCTAACGCAGTTACACAGTCAGGAAACTTATCTGCTTCTCCGATGCCCCCTCTCACTGCTCTACAATCTGCTAGCAAAGTTCATTTGTGAGTTTCTTTAATTTTTTATTAGCTAGTTTGATATTAATGATTTGCCTGGTACAGCCGCTCAAACTTATCTTCAGCCTCTGGTCCTGCAACGAGTTGCACCCTTACGTTCCTTGAGCAGCAGATGGCATCAAGCAGACTTCTGCAGTCATCTAGGGACTATCATCTGTGGTTATCAGCTTTTGTCAGATTTTTGGTGCATGAAGGTAATTGAAAAGCCACCAAAGTAAAATACTTTATTAATGCATCTTAATCTTAGGAATGGAAGCTCGCCTAAGGCTGATATTTGATGAGCTTTTGGGTCCAGCACATCCACACTCAGCCAATAGTAGATCATGGGATGATAAAATCATGGTAAAATATCTTAATTTTGTTATCTTCTGAATTTAATGTTTTATTATAGGGACTTTCAAAGCATCAGCTTTTGCAAGAAATGCTAACTGTGGTTGCCTCCAATCTTAGTCTGCAGCGACTTTACTCTGAGTACAATGATTTGCTAGAAAGTGCTACAAGCAGCAAGTAAATATTTTCACCTTTAACTATTTCGTTCACAACATCATGTAGTCTTGATGAAGTCGGTTCAAAATCAATAAAAGAAATTGATATTTTTACAAGAAAATCAAGTATTTGGAAGTTATTTCAAAACCAAAATAAGTATATAGACACATAAGTACACAGAATGGTTTTAAAATTTTTAATGCAAATATTGTTGTAAGTGTAAGTCTGCGACGGAAAATTTAATTCTAGTAATGTGTGCTATAAATTTCCACTCATTTGCAAGCTTTTTACTTTTCTCTTGCACACATGTCTCTGCGTTGAAACTATAAAAGCCTTTATTAATTGACTAATTTAGCCTTTTGATGGAACCTTTCTCCCAATAAAGTGAAAATAAAATCTGTTCAATTCTCAGTGGAGGAAATTACGATATTTATAAGAAAATGCATTATTTTGGACATACTTTAAAAACCAAACATAATTTTATTGACATAAATGATATGCCAGGGGTTTTAAATTGATATTTGAAATGTTGCAAAGTAACTTCAAGGTGTGCCAGTGGTATCGTCAGTGATGAAATCATCAACAGCATCAGCAATGGCATTGATGAACTTCTCATAGTCCGCCAAGAACTCATTCCAGTCATCTGTGAGCATTGATAGAATATCTTCCAACTCGTCATGTCCCAAATCGTAGATAAACTTTACGAGCTTCATATGTCGCTTCACAACCGCTGCGTCGGGATTCGTCTAACAAAATTTATGTATTTGATTCAGAATCGTAAAATTTAAAAAATTTACTCACATATACGTCTGTCAGGGCCCTAATTGTTCCAGTGTAGGTTTCAAGATTGTGGTGTATCCTGACCCTTATTTCCGATAAGTCTGCCCTGAGCAATTTCGCTACTTCCTCCACTGCAATTTTGCTCCGCACAAAAGAATCCTTGGTGGCACCGTTGCGCAGTTTGTAGACTACTTCTTCAACCAGTTCGATCAGGGTGTTGAACATGTAGGAATGTTCGTAGGTTGCTTTTTGGGCAGCTTCGAGATTTCCAAAAACTTTTTCCTTCAGCTTATCAAGCTGTGTGCGCTCCACCTAGCAAAAATTATGTTTTTTTTTTTTTTAATTGAAGTTGAAAATGAAAATAAAAAGATATTATTACTCCAAGATCAACCATAGAGTCAAAAACCAATCTGAAGTGCTCGTCGACAGGGAACGGGTTAGCCATGTAGGTACGTTCAAAGAACTGCAGCCTCTTCAATGATGACTCAAAAGCCAAGGCCTTTGCTTCTACCACAACATATTTTGGTTCCTCAACTGGAGTGACACCCACTGGCACTTTTTCAGCCTTAACGAAAATGGGGATTTGTGCCGTATGGTGCTCATCGACGGGAACAATTGGGATTTTTTCTGCTGGAACTGGAATTGCTACTGGAATAACTTTTTCAGCCACAATGACAGGGGTGATGACTTTTTCATCCGTGACCACAGGTTTCACAACATCCGGCACCACATCAACTTGGGTCGTCACCTCAACTGGACCCGCAAGAGCCTAATCGAAGGAATGAATCTTGAGGCGATTTGTGGCTTTGTAATATAATTACCTGCGAGAAGGCCAGGCCCAAACAAATAATGAGAAGTGTGCGCATCTTGAGAAGAACTGAGCAAGAATTGGATGAGCACGCCCTATTTATAGATTGATTTGTTACAGGGGAAATAGTCTGCTGTTTTCAGACACTGCTCCTAATAGGTTGTTTTCATTGCACCAAGAAATAATTAAGTGGGCAATGACCAGTCTATGTGCAGACGATTTTAGCTAATATCATTAGTTCGGGGAAATTTCTTATGTTAGAATTTTAAATACATATTTATTTCTAGAAAGAAAAAAATTTGGAAGTTATCACGACAGTAAATTTAATACCGAGAAGCTTGCTACAATTTTCCACTCATTTTTAATTTTTTCAACTTTTCCTGCACGTAAGCCTCTGCGTTGAAACTATGAGCCTCCTCTACTTGACTTATTAAACCTTGCTGGAAATCTTTCTCCTTTTTGGCTTCTCTTCGCATTCTCAGCTAAAAATTCAACAGAGGGTTTTTTTAGTTACGTTTTTTTATTACTTAAAGTAATTACTTTCGCCCATTCAAATTTCATTCTCTTTCTGAGCTTCTTCCTCTTATGTTTCTTCATTTTATGCCTCCTGATGACAATAAGTCTGGCGGCTTGAATTTCATCTCTATCCTCCCCAGGGGAGGTTTTGGGCACAACAGGGAGGTCGAGAGGCGCAATTTTTGGAGCCACTGGTGTTTGGCGAACAGGAACAAGAAGGTCAATCAGGGAGGGAGGAGGCATCTTCCACTCGAGGGTCGGTTTGCCGGAGATTGAGGTTGATGATTTGCGACCTGCAGAACCATAATTTGTATTAAAATATTTTTCGATTTTATTTATTCTGAAAAAATATACTTTGCTGAGACGTAATCAACGGAACAGTCCAGCTTGAAGGAGAATAACTTTTTGCTGGCTCTATAGTTTTGACCATTGTTTTTGTGCCCAAGTTTCCTAAAAATAAAAATTAGATATTATACGACAAATTTACAAAAAGAAACATTCGCAGATTTCTTTCTAAAAAAACTAGAAAAAAATATGCAAATAAAAAACAGTTTCCAATTGCAAAGAGTCGAAAATTTTTTTAAATTCTTAATATTTTTCATCAATATAGAGAGATAAACCTGAAAAAATGAATAAATATCGAAGACACGTCCATTATACAAGAAGCAAACGTGTTTGTATTTCAGAGGAAAAATGTGTTTTTCAAAGCGAATGACGTGATACTTACGGGCTAAAATGTGCCCTAGGCGGGTGCTTAAAGTCCTCAACATGATTTTACCTCAGCTTTTACGCATTACAGCTAAATTAAGAAGAAATTAAAATGCAATCTCGCGTTTGTTATTATCCCGGTTGGAAAACATCTGTTCGCTTGCTCGGCTCTCGGCTTGCTCCACAGAGTTGTACGCTTGCTCAAATTCGCTGCCTGCCGGCAAGTTCATGCAAAGGGTTGCATAGATGGCACTGTACAGATCGCTCTTTATGTATTTAATTTTGTTAAAATCATGGACCTATTAAGAAATCTTAATAAAAAGAAATTCTTTATAAATCCTTATTGAAAACATTTGGGAATTTTTGATAATTTAATATTTCTTTATCACTGATTTTATGCGGATATTAAAAATATTATTATTATCAAAATAATTTCGAGCATGAAAATATAGTTTAATCATTTTGATACAAACCAAATTAATTATAGTCCTTTAAATAATTAAAAGAAAAAAGATTTTTTTAGTTTTTGGACATTTATTTTAGAAAACTTTCACACACCGTGTGCACACGTGTTTATATACATACAATATGAAAATATAGTTATATATAATTATGCAATAAAATTTAGGTTACATTTCATGCCTTCCATTTTTAGGTAGTTTCAAAATTACATTTTCCTTGATATATATAGATATCATGTTTAATTTTGTATAAAAAAAAATACTGATTACAATTACTACGCTATTTCATCTTCTATATTTCTTAATTAAACACTCCACATTTTCTTGTAAATAAAATGATTTTTTTGAACTTTTTTTATCGCAATGGAGTTTTTGGATTCAGTCAGAAATTTCATCATCCTCATATTCATCTGGAGAATAGTTAATGGAATTTTTAGAGCTTTGACGGTTTAAATTCTGACGCTGAATGACGGATTTGATTGCGTTGGTTGACGCTAAGTCGAGGGCAGTGAGACCATCGGTGTTTTTTAAACTTGTGTCGGCCCCTATCTCTAGCAGAAGGTTGACCACATCTAGGTGACCTTTGGAGGCTGCAGAATGCAGAGGAGTGTCTCCAAGACGATTCTAAAAAACCAATGGAGTTATATTTGATAGAAATAATTCATACAAAATTAAAATACTTGAGCGTTTAAGGCTTCGCTAGGAATTTTAAGCAGCTCCTGCACACACTCCAACTGGCCAGAATGACAAGCCCAAAGAAGGGCTGTGTTCCCTGCGTGATCCAAGCTTGTGGCCGAGACACCTTCGGAGAGACCCTGCTTCAGGTTACTCAGATTTCCTCTGCGAGCGGCATCATGTAGAGGAAAAAGGACTTCTTCGGTACAAGTTTCAACTAAAAATAAAGGTTTAAAATTTTAGAAAAATATTATATTATCTTGCGGTAAAGTGAGGAAAATTAAATAGATTTTTTTACTAAATATATGAACTAAAAATAAAATATTCCAAATTTTCTTACATCAAATAATAATTTAAGGAATTTAAGTATTAAAAACAAAATCTTATAAATTATACCGTAATTGCTAGGAATCAGTCCGAAATTTGGGCCGCATTTTGCCCTCCACCAGTTTTGGTCTGTAACTTGGTCCAAGACGTACAAAACGTCTCCCTCTTGGAATGTCAACTCGTCAGGATTTTGAGCGGAATAATCGTAAAGGGCTCTCACAACTTTAATTTTTCCTAGAGGCATACACAAAAAATTAAAAAAATATCCTGAAACAATTTTTGTATTAAATATACCTGGCTTCGGAGCAATTTTTGGGGCGCTGGGCGTACGGCTTAAAGAAGTACTCATGTTTTAATATTAATTTTCTTGATTTATTTTCTAAATATCACATCTACTCGGAACGTCACTTTTTTTCTGAAAATGGAACAAAATAATAAATTAATATAATTAATACCGTATTTTTATTGCGTTTAGAAACTCAAAGCTATAAAAAAAACTCACTTAACACAGAGTGAGTGGATCGATGTCTTTGAAGAGTTAACAAATAAAACTTGCGTAACAAAAACAAACCAAGCCTATTTTTTCTTGGTTTTGCGATTTCCGGTCAAGATAACGTGGCTGGTGGGTTGCGGCGTCGTCTGTTGCTTTTATGAAAATAATAAAACATCAATTCAGAAATTAATTTTTTCATCAGAAGGTCAACTTGATTGACATATACTGCCAAAAATCAGAAAAAATCCTCTTTTAAGTTTGTTTTGTTTACCTTTTTATTGCTGCGCCACCCACCGAGGTCCTCGACCCCTTCTACTTTCGTGCCGCAAAGAGTAAGAAACTTTCAAATTCTGGCGCTGCTGTTGTTATTTAAAGATGGCCGCCTAAACACACGTCACTTGGCAGAATCGTGCAAGGTCATCGATGAGAATCCCGATTTCGCGCTGCGGCACGTGAAAAGTGATGCGGTGACGCATGCAAACGGGGCGTTCGTTTCGGCTCGATCTCGACTCCAACTTTTCAATTTAACCCGTTTTTCGTCGTCATTCGTCGAGTCGGCTGGCGGAACCAGCCCACAATTATTCAGATTTCTCAAAAATAATTATTCAAGCTTGCCGAGGAGTAAATTAGCCTTGAATTCCAGCCACGATGGAAGAGAACGACGGCGAAAACAATCCGCCCGAGTTGCAGCAAGTGAGCCTCGAGCAGAGCGAGGATTTGTTTCAATCGGCTTTGGAGGTTTGTAAAAAAACCAAGTGTCAAAATTTTTATCTCTGATGTCCAGTATCCGGCGTTCCCAAAACAACACTTTATCGCAAGTAAAAACCCTGCAGCGCTGACTAAAAACTAAAACGTCTGTAATGAAATTTTAAATAAGCCTTTGTAAGCCAGAAAATGTTTTTTTAAATATTTCTATAAGTTATTTAAAATTTAGAAGAATTTAAGAAAAAAAAAATGGAAATAAATTTTGGATAATTTAGTATTCCATTAGAAGCCATTTCTGTATTATATGATATTCAGATTATATTGACCCAGAAGGTTTTTTGCGTTTATTTATTGTAAATTTTTAATTAGATATATATATAATAAAATTTCTGTTGTTCAATACAAACATACATTTTTATTCATAGAACAGGAAAATCTTTTTTTAACAATGAATTAAATATCAAAAAATATATTATTTAGCTGTGCAAGAAATTTTAATTCGATTATTATGTTTCACGCATGAAATAAGTTTCATAACTTTCCGATTAATTATAATTTAAAAACTCTGTCATTGTTGATTTAAAAATTATTCAATTTTTTTATTTTAATTACGAAATCGCCGGATAGTATATTATATTTTGGTATTTCCTTATTTCATTTTGCGCTCATCATGCTGGAGATAAAAATAGACCATTCCATAAAGCAAATAACATCATAATGTGCCCCCATAGATATTTACCCAGCAGTGACTGGAATGTTATATCATGTGACATGAAACAACCGACAAATAATCTTTATCAAAGCTATACAAAATTTTATTACTGATGGACCTATATAATGTTTCTTGGTATAAAAATGTACAGCGCCAAATTTAACAAAGCGGTTTAAAAACAAACACTTCTTCTTTGATCTAATAATAATTTATTTTATTTTAGGAGGAGGTTCCTTTGGACAACGACTCTGACATTTTTGCCGAGGAAAGTGTGACAAGCGATCCCACAGGCCAGCCAGGCCAGGTACGTTGAATGCCATTAACGGGCCAATGTCGAATAATTGCAGACAACAGGTTGAAACATGCAATTACCCTCAAACTTTTCTTGTAGGCTCCAACAACGCAGAGCAGCGCGCCAACCAGTTTTCCTACTAATAGAATGCACAGAGTCACAACAGAGGAGGTGAGATTTATTTTCTGTATGCGTGGATTTTATTTTTACCTTAATAACCCTGTAAAAATAGCCTAAAACGTTAGAAAACGATGAAAAAATCTAAAAAAGGACCAAAATTCATTCAAGAGCCGACTTAAATTTTAAAATTTCAATTTATGTTTTTTAGCCTAAAATAAAATTATTTTTTTGGAAAAAAAATAAAGTTTTTGAATAAATAAATGTGCTAATTTTTAATAAATTATTTTTCAGCTTCAACAACATGGTGCAAACGGTGACGACCAGTACGTCAGGGTCTCGATCACCGAGCCTCAGAAGATGGGCGAAGGCATGAGTTCTTACATGGCCTACAGAGTATCCACACAGACCAACATGCAGTTCTACAAGAAGTCAAACTTCAGCGTGTACCGCCGCTTCAGCGACTTCTTAGGCCTGCACGATAAGCTGATTGAAAAGTACCTCCGCTCCGGGAGAATCATTCCGCCTGCTCCTGAGAAAAGCATGATTGGTATGAAGCACTTTCAACGGACGTTGTATCAAATATATCCTGGATATAAATTTAGGCTCAACCAAAATTAAGATCTCAAATCAGGCGGATCAGGGCTCGTCTGGAGAATTCATCGAGAGACGAAGAGCTGCGTTAGAGCGCTTCATCAACCGCACTGCAAACCACCCCATTCTCCGGGTCGACCCTGATTTCAGGGATTTCCTCGAGTCAGGTAATTTCTTAATCATTGCATCGATATCTAAAAAAATTGAGATTTAATTTGCTTTTAGTTTAAACTTTTTTTATATCAATATTGTGATAATCTGACAGACATGTCACATTAAAAAAATATTATATTCCTTCAGAACTGGAACTTCCAAAAGCCACAAACACATCTGCCTTGAGTGGTGCTGGAGTGATCAGGCTGTTTAACAAAGTAGGCGAGACTGTGAACAAGATCACCTACAAAATGGATGAAAGTGATGTGGTACGTTTCTTATTCCTGATATATTTTGGAACAAATTAACATAATTTGTAATTGTTGAATTATTAAATATGCCAGGAGAACCAGGTAAAATATTAAAATTATTGCATGAAGCAGCACGATAAAAGAAATTTTAAATTTGTCAATATTTCTAAACTAATTTTGTTAATTCCAGTGGTTCGAGGAAAAAGTGCAGCAAATCGACAGCTTGGATAATCACCTGAAGAACATGTTGACCCGCGTGGAGGCGCTGGTCTATCAGCGTCGAGAGCTGTGCTTGTGCTTAGCTGGTTTCAGCAAGAGCATAGCCATGCTAAGCAACTGTGATGAACACAACTCGCTGTCCAGGGCGCTGTCCATTCTGGCCGAGGTTGAGGAAAAGGTCGAGCACGTTTATTCACAACAGTGTGACGCCGACTACGCCATTCTCTACGAGCTGCTCAAAGATTACGTGGCTCTCGTCGGAGCCGTTAAGGTTTCAGTTTCATTAAACACGCATTTGAATTTGGTGTTAACGATCTCTCTCGATAAACCGGCAGGATGTGTTCCACGAGAGGGTGAAAGTGTACCAAAATTGGCAGCACGCCCAAATCGTGCTCAACAAAAAGCGAGAAGCCAAAGCCAAGTTTGAAATTATGGGCCGGACTGATAAAATCAACCAAGCCAAGGATGAAGTTCTAGAGGTCGGTGTCAATTTGCTCGCAGATAAATTAGCCGTGGTTAATTTCTTCTGTCGGCGATTAATATTATTCTGTGAAACTTTCTGGCACATTGTAAACTGTCCAAGTGCTGGAAGTAATTTTACCAAACTGCGAAAATTAACAGTGATTCTTAAATTTTAGTGGGAGTCGAAAGTTGAGCGTGGCCAGGAGGAGTTTGAAAATATCTGCAGGATGATAAAGAAGGAACTGGAACGTTTTGAGTTGGTCCGCACTCAGGAGTTCAAGGTCGTCCTTATGCGTTACGTTGAGAGTCTCATGAATAATCAGCAACAGGTTCGTTTCATTTTTTTAATATGAGAGGAAGATTAATAATATTTTGTAAAATAGCTAATCCAAATTTGGGAGACATTCCTGCCTGAAGCCAAGGCAATCGCTTAATGTGATGCGAAGGATGCAAGGAGAGTCTTGCATTGCTAATCTGCCCAATTGTTATCTCGAGAATGAATAAATCACTATTATTTCTATTATATGAATGTTACATAAATCTTCTATGTTTGAAAACATACTGGCGAATTATGTATGTATGCTAAAAGTCTTGATCTACTCATATTTTGTACTACATTCTAATACATTATTATAGCTTCTTCTATGCAATAACCTAGAGTTTATCACTATTTTAACCCTAAAATATATTATATAATACAAAAATTAGCAAGCAGAGCGTTCGATACATGAAGAGCAAAAAAAATTAGCTAATTGTTGTAATTTATCTCATGCTGCTAAAACAAGATAAAATGCTGAAAGGAACAATTTTATCATTAATAATAGTGCTCTTGCTGAGGCTTGCTCTTGACGTATGTCCGTATTGATCATAAAGAGCTTGCAGCGTTTTGGTCGTAACATAATAATTATCCTGTCGCAAATTATGAAGTGCGCCGCTCGCTCTTTTACAATGCAAAAATCCATGGTCGGCGGTGCGACGACGACGTTGGCAGGCAAGAGAGAGATATCACGGATGAAGTGACACACTTTTGTTGTATGCGCCGACTGTAAGAAAGAAAAATGAGCAGAAATAAGAGGAGATTTCTGCCTGGAAAGACAATGGACAAAACGCCGGCTCACTGTGTGCGCTCCATATTTGACATTGATTTTTGCAAACGCCGAGAGAGAAAAGCGAAACTCTCAGCTATGGAAGAATTTAATGAGGGATGCAAAAATAATGTTGGTGTGCTGAAGAAAAATAAATGCATTATGCACTAGGGCTAGCTGCTCAGCGAATCCATTCAATTTTTATAATAACCAAGTTATGTTGCGGCCGGGGAAATAAATTTGCCCATTATTTTGACCTCATTTCCGCATGAAGACGGATGTAAAATTGTGTGCCAAATTTTCCTCTTATTTAGCGGTAGTTATATATATATATATTCAGTGTCAGAATGTTCCAGAAACTTTTAAAGTATTAAACTATTTTTTATATAATAGATATGAGTGGATATCATTATACTAATATTTATAACAATTTTAATTTTACACATTTATTTTGCCAAATTCTATTTCAAAATCTACATTGATAAGCAACAAAGGGTGAATGGGGCTATGAAAATGCCACTGGCTCATTTTTATTTTTTGCGTCCCTTTTCCGCAATTTGTTATCATAATAATTTAAAATATATTTCGTCCTGTACTCTTTATTTATGATCGAGCCCGCATCAACATTTCCTGCGTTCTCCAGCGCGCGAGATAATGCATACAAAATTTTATTCATTTTTTTTCCTCCGCCACGTATATATGTGTATCTGCTATAGATTATAGATGGGTATTTCAACCCCAATATGCGAGGCATTCAAATTTTACGGCCCCTATTTTCGCCTTCTGCTGGAGCTTCCAACTCTCTCGCCCAGGCACTTTCTTTTGCACCATAAAGAGAGCTGATACGCGCCGCGCGGCGCCGAACATTTCTGGCTAAGTTCAGTAGTTGTAAAATTGGTCCGACGCATCAGAACCGCGATAGATAGCAAAGAGAACAGCAGTGGCGCGAGGAATTCGCGCTCGTCGCCAGCTCTGATAAAGTCAAAACTTTTTAAATGGGCTAAAAAGAAAAAGATACGTGCGGCTTTCAAAGACTTCTTTTGGTCTTTTACGACAATTAAACTGCACCAAAGAGGGAAATTTTGAAGTCTTGCCAAGCTCAAATGCTTAATTTCTGCTCCTTGTGGGTCTACTGAACACTGAACTGGAGATTCCAATCTTGAAGTAATACGCAAGGGTTGTTGAGCTGGGTTAAGATTAGTTTGCAATTTAATGTAGAATTATAATTATGTAATATTAGTCCCTGCCGAAAATTAATTAAATTTTCAATTTCTTTTTAATTTATATATTATGTGAGCGATCTACGAATGCAAATTGGGCTCAACTGGGTACAACAATTTAACCATCTCTTAAAATTTAAATAACAAATTTTTTGATAGAATTCCGAGAATTCCAATTCCAAAATTTCAATGATTGCTTGATTGATTAAATTTAATTGGCACTACTTGTGCCGTTTTGAAACATATATTTTAATAGCCAACGTATGAATAACACAAATATACAAAAACCTTTTGACAGACAATTTTCAATGATTATAATTTGAAAAATAAAATTGGCAAGTTAGGATAGCTTTCATAATTTTTGTTAAATTAGCAAATAATACAACGTGCATTGGACTTACGTGAGCGTTTCCATTTGTAATGGATTGAACCTAAAATTGCAAATAAATTTTTTTATCGGATAAAACATTTTGCGAAAAGCCTGTGTGGGTGAGTTACAGTTCTCAAAAGGTCAATCCATCAGCAGGTGGTGTGCGCGCATCCGTCGCCATAAAACACGGCGGTGCGCCGCCAAGGAGAGACAATAATTTCAGTTTTATCTGCCTTTTTGTTACAAATGGAATTTTGCTCGGGCGCGCGGCGGCGAATCAATTTATGGCCGCACGGATAGATATATAGGACGCTTGGTATAAATTGTTTTGCAGAGGCGAGAGCAGAACCAACTATGGCAATTGCCGCAGCTGCTCTCCAAATAACAAATCAGACACATACAGAGTCGGCAAAAACTTTTGAAGCTCTCTGTGCCGATATTTAAATTTTTAGCAGCGAATTGCGACCAGCCTGTGTGTGCGCGAGAGCATCATGCAAGCGAGCGCGCCATCGGAATATGTGATATTGCGAAAAGCCGGTGGCGGTATTATACCCAGCTGGTTTAATTTATATGGAGAGACGGGTGGAGAGAGTTAAAAAGTCCAATGTGCTTATACAGCCCGACTATCGCAATGAACGGCGGCGCGTGTTCTTTTTGTCTGTCGTTTTCTGTTGGAGATCACGGTTATTTGCAGAATTTATTTGCATAAATATATACTCCAGCTTTAGTTGTTGAGCTCAATCGCAGTATAAAGGGAAAAGAGCAGAAAATTTATGTGACGTTATGTAAAAACATTCGTGTTGCGATTTGGTCTGAAAAATTTATCACGATTTTATGCGTTAATATTTGACCCACGGTTGTCTTTTAGCTGAAGTTTTTATTCAATTTAATTATTTAATAAAGAACTTTAAACTACATAAAGTGACACGCATTTTATTAAAATTATTAAAATATTTGCTTATTGTTAGATGCATTACATTTTTTATAAAATGAATTATGGATGATACACTAAAGATGTGACACTTAGGAACACACTTTTAATTTGAAGCTCTTAACAGCACCACAACAAAACAAATTTCCCTTTCACATTTTATCTCTCGCTTAGCGGGTGTAGTGCTTTTGTCAGTGAGGGATGATTTGTGTACATTGGCCCGTTCGCGAGGGAGCTCAGTCATTTAGGATGCCTCGAATATCGGGCGCGGCAGGGATAAATTAGCTTGGGCAAAAAACGTCCATATATCCGCGGCACCGGCGCTTTATTAAAAGCAACAAAGGGAGGAGAAAAAGCGAGGAACGAAGGGAAAAAATTATTGTACCCGGTTGGTCGGACCGGTAAAGGCATGATTAATGATGTCTGGATATCAGGCGGAGAGGTGTGCGCTTTATAAATAATAAATTCAGAGGCGTTTCGTATTGCACACACAAAAAGAAGCACAATGGCGAACGGCTGGGCGGATTATGTAACTCGTCGCGGCGGCGGCGGCGGCAGCGGCGGCCGTGGCGACTTAGCAAAGTTTCTTCTTTTCAGTTTGCTCTCTGCGCAAAAAGCACTGCTGGTTAGCTTGGGGCGAGATGAATGGAAAATCTCATGGGTCTGCACGCACACGAGGCTGTGGATTCATTAAATGTGGGACAAAATGAGGGTCCTTGAACATTTCTATCTCTCCCTCTGTCGCCCTTTCTCGCCAAATATCAGAGCGCAGAGAAACACAAACCGTCTCTAATAAAAAAAAGGGAGCGGCGGCACTCGTCTCGGATTTTTCCACTGAAAAAGAGGAAGTTGCCACATTGTTTACAAACAAACTTTCTGGCGAAAAATAATTAGTCAGCTCCAGATCTGAAAAGCCTCTCTTTCACTCTCTGTGAAGCGGCCCCAGGCGCCTTCCCGAAGTGTAATTACCAAGTTAATTAAGCATGGAGTAAGTTTAAGTGAGTTGAACTTGAAGAGGCTCTGAACGCAATCGACACCCTCACGTACCAACGAGGGTGGCAAAAATGGGGCTGCAGTTCAGTTAGTAGGGAGGAATGATATCAAGTTTCCTAGGTGGCACGTAGATTGTTATATACCAGTCGGAGAATGGGCAAATGGGGGTGATAATGGCGCACCGAGTGAGTGGTGCTAGCGGGGGTAGCTAGCAACAAGTTGAACGCACTGGCGGTGCCGATTTTTTCATACGAGCCGCGCTTCCATGAATTATCACGCGTTTATCACCGCCGATGATGTTATCATCCATGTGCAGTGCGGTCGAACTGTGGAAAGTTTCAACAGTTGGAAAATAAAAGTTGTGTGCCCCGTTTTAAATGTCAATCGAATTTATTACACACGGCTTATCTAAATGTTAACAGATGTAAGTGGAATGTAAAATTGTAAACTCTTTTTGACTCAATTAAAATTAAAAGCATTTTCATTATCGCACCGTAATAAATTTTCCCCTCTACAAGCACACTAGCTCAACGCCTGCTGTCTGCGGATTAAGCAAACCCGCTCAACAGTCTGGTCGAGCCAGATGCATACCTCTGTCTGCGTTTGTTTTCAGCAAGAAGATCACCATCTAGCACTATTTCTCACTTTAATCACTCCTCTGAAGGGTATAATGAAATGATCATTACATATATTTTAAGCCCCATTCAATTTATAATAAAGTCAACTTTATTATCAAAAGTTTTTTACTGACAAAATAGAGGATAATTATGTATGTTAATGTTCAGTATTTAATAAATAAATAATTTTACCATTAGATTTAAACGGGAAATTTTTAATTTTCTCATTGACATATGAAAAATATTAATTTATTAAGTTTCTTCTTTCTGTAATATAAACATTTCAATGAACGCAAAAGTGAATTACTGAGTTGTAATGTTTGGCTTTAATTATTAAAAAATAATATTGTTTGCTTTTTTACACATTATCACATTATTTATACCAATATTTTAAACCTGGTTCATGTTTAAGTCTTTTTGACCAAAAAAAATCAATTTTACCTACTTTTTATAGTGACGTAACCGCTGACGAAAATCAAAGCGGACGTTAAAAAGCGGTGCCGTGTGCACTCACCTGACAACTTTGAAACGTTTATCTCGCGCACATTCTTCTGTCAGTGGGCTAACCTATCAATATTAATGGGGGGAGTTTACTTTGCACAGGGTACGCACGCTATATTGAAAAACCACATCTTCAACGCGAAATTTCCCGTCAAAAGCTATTTGCGGACCGGCCAAACTGACGCGCATAAATTTCGCAAACAACGTACAGGAAGCTCGTTCAATATTTACTTCAAAGCAGTGTGTATGCAGACAACAAAAATTGCGCATCATCCCACATGCCTTTGGCGCACGCAGAAGAAAGGGGTGCGAGAGAGCAGCTTCGAGGTGGCAATATTTGCTCAGAGCAGCCAAGAGAAAAGACGCCCGCCGACCAAAAAAGCGGCACTCTCAAAGAAGAACAAGAGAGCCGCCGGCAGTTTAGAGAGGCCGGTCCATTTGACACACCGCGCACATTCGACAACAATTTTTACCGCGGACTCGAGACGATGCAGCCATCGTCGGACAAAAGCTGCCGATGGGCTCGTTAAGGCCTCATTGTTTGCCTCTTCATCCGCCAGCTAATACATAATGGAGCAAGGAAAGACCTCTGCAATAACTCCATCATTTCGGCGAGTTACGACAGCCCTGTCTTGTCAGATCATATCCGACGGCATCAGCGTAGAGCGCGGTCTTTATTTAGCCCCGAAACGGCTTCCGTTCCAGATACGTTTTTTGTAATACATTTTTGCAAGACGACGGAATAAGTTGGCCCTTTTTATGGCGCATAATCTCGTCGGCGGTTGATGAAAAATAGATAAGCCCTTTCTCTTTTATTTTGCACTCGAACAAAAATGTCTCACAATCAGCTCAGTTGGTTGTAATTGCGGTATTGGAGAAAATATTGACTATTTTTTTCCATTATTCCTGTATTTTTTGTATTACAAAAATAATTTGAATAATGCACAATGTAACGTCAAATATATATATTTTTTGTTCACATTAAAATGACGGAACTGTTTGTTAAAAGAGCTTATACGTTCCATATCAAAACTAGATTAAGTAATGTCCTTTCTATATTATCCAGCAATTTCCTGCTTTTATTTGTCTTATCAAAAAGATTAAAATTTTAAACAGTTTTCTGGCTGTATTTATTTCCTGTGGGTTTCTCTGTAGGAAAATAAATGTTTAAAATAAAAAAGTTTGCCATTTGGGCATTCCATCAAAAATAAAATTTTTTTCCTCAGCCTAGAACGTTAATAAAAATTTCACGATCCATTCGCCAGCCGGCTGTAATTGTAAACACGCCGTTATCGTTAACACGCCCCGTTTAACAAATTTCGGCCCTATATTTTTTCGCCCACGAATCGCGCTACAGCCAGCCAGACATATCTGCTGGACTTTCCTTTGGTTTTACGGTCGTTCTAAGCGAGCCTAATCTTGTGCGTGCCGACGAAAATGGCTCGCGCGCGGTATGGAATAACTCATAAAGTATCATTCAGAAGTATCGATTGCCGCTCGAAATTCTGCCGTATTGTGTTTGGGCCTTAATTTATGTGGCGAGAGGACTTGTAGGCCTCGGAGATAATAAATTGGGGGAGTATTTTTGGACGTTTTTATGGCAAATCGTGAAAGTAGATTAAAACGTTACGGCGGCAATCGCATAAAAATCCATCTCGGAACCGACTCGAGCAGTACTAAATTTGTCTAACGCCACGGCCGGCAGTGACGTATTTGGGAAAGCACGTCGCCTGCAGCCGACTCTCTTCCTCCACTGTTCTATAGGAATTTAATCAAAGAAATAAAATAAGAAATATACAAACTAATAAAGTGGGTTTTTGTGTGGCTAGTTATAATTGTTAGACATCAATTCTATTGTCATTAATAGAGTAAGAATTGTAATTGGGTGGATTCTTTTGTTTGATTCTGATCTATGTAGTGGTTTTTATAAAATGTAGTTTTTATCTTTCATGCCGTGGTTTTTTGAGAATCAAATTTTAAATTAAAAACTCTTTTTTTTAATTAAATGATAGGTATTTTTAAATAAGATTGTTTAATTGACTCAAATTTGAGTAAATTTTTCATGTAATGTTTTTCCTATTTGAAATTAAGAAGCAAGCATTTTCTCAGATTATTACCTGTTTTTATTCATGATCTGGTCATGATTCTGATGATCTATTTTACTAGGATTTGTTTTATTAATTTTATTCCCATGCAGCTTTTTAAATTTACACAGGAAATATAGATCTTGGATAAACCAAATAGGTGAGTTTTTTTCAATGCGGGTTGTTAAAAAATTGACTTATCCGGAGAAAAATACAATAGATGGATTGAATTTGAATTGACTTGTGTGCATTAATTCTTCATTCACTCTGGAAATTCATGTTTTAACGGTTTTAACATAAATCATTGTGCCAGTCTAAAGTGGAACTATTGCGTTTCTGTTGGGTTAGAGAAAATGCGTGGAAAAGTATCGAGTGGTGGCGGCGGAGTATAAATAACGCAATGCGAAACAAGCAAGGCGAGAGTGCAACAAACAAAGCGAGTGTGTTGCTAGAGCAAGTGAGAAGAGCCGGTGCGGGGCGCCACGGCAGCGAGTCGGTGCCCGCGGACTTTGCGCCAAGCGACGGAGCGCAGCAGCAGCGGCGAGCCGTGGTGCAGGCGCGAGCGAGAGGGCGAACGAGCCAGTTTGGTAGTACTGGAGAGGAGGGAGCCGACCGAGGAGCATGCTGCACCGGCGTCGATACCAAGTGGGCTTTGGTGGTGGCGTTTTGGCGCGGCGGCTGCACGCGGCCTGAAGAGCTGCAAGGGTAGGCGCGCGCCTTCGCGACGAGAGTGCGTGCGCGAAAATGGTGCAGTGCCGGCGCCGCGAGTTGTTCATGTTGTTGTTGTTGTTGTCACATGAAATAAGAAGGTGGTGAGTGGCGAGAGAGCGCAAGATGGACCGGCAGCAGCCTCCGCAGGTGCCGCCGCGCCACCTCTACTCCAGCCCCACCCAGCCGAATTTGGGCGAGCCGGAGGAGGTCGCGGTCGTGTCGCCAGACCGCAGCTCCGTGTCCGGCTTCCCCTCGGACAGGACGCCCGTGTCCAGCAGCAGGGGCTCCACCAAACTGACCAAGCAGCAGGTCAAGCCCTTCACCAGGGAGTCGCTCGAGCGGCTCGAGAGCAAGACGGTGCAGTTGGTGCGCGAGTACGGATTCCAGCCGCGCCGCAAGGTCAGCGTCGAGGACGGTTCGGTGCTGCCCTACAAGTTTGAACCCTTCCCCAGCAACCTCTACGGCAGACCCCTCGAAGAAATTGACAACTTTATCTACGATGAGGTGAGCCCCTGCATCCCTAATGGAGGGAAAAAATTACATCAAGTGCGCTTTCTTCCGACAGGCAATTTGCATTCATATTTGACAGGGATTTGAAACCGCTCCATCCTCGCCTTTAATTTTGCCCTCGGTCCGCTCTTTTTCCCCAACAATTTTTATTTGTTTCGCCTCTTTCTCTCTGCCAAAGGTGCCTGCTGAATATGAATGCGCCGCAATACATTTTATTTGTCTCTCGCTCGCTCTCGTCCCAAAGCGGGCTGCATACTTTTGTTCAAAATTCAATTTTCAGTCGCCGCGAGCCCTTTCGAGCTTCAATATAATTTACATCGGAGCAAAACCGTCGCCGACTGCAGCTCTTTTCAACGCTTTTTCCATTTCAAAGCTCAATAAAACATTGCGCGAGTGACACGGATATAATTTTTGAAAGATCAAACAGCTTTTTTGGTTGAATGGTGCACTAGATTCTTTCCCTGAAGCTTTCAGATTAAATAATTCACATTGGTGCTTTTAAAACACCTGCTGCAATACAAAGCTCAGCCTTAAAAAAAGAGTTGCAAGTGCTAACGTTTTAAATTTTTAGTTTTCTTTTTTATATAATTTTACGATAATCTTTAAGCTGTTGATTATGGAAGCTATTCTTCAAAGAATATGGAATGAAAATCATAATCTATTTCGAAATAAATTTTCTAAACGAGGTTAAAATCCGGTTTCAATTTTACATGAAATCCAATGCATATAAGTTTAATTTCCGTTTATATGACATAACGATTTAGTTTTCGGTTAAAATATTTTTAAAATCCTCTAAGTCAGAAAAATACACTATAAAATAAAATACAAAGAAGCGTTTAATTTTATAACAACGTTAAATTGATAAATATTAATTTTGTATACACCACAATCAAATAAAATAAAATTGAAACACCTGATTATTATAAGTAAATTTATATTTTGAATTTTGTAACAAATGAAATTCATGCCACCTATGACTGTCGCAGAAAAATGGCTGAAATTACAACTTTCTTGGAGACTTACTAAACGATAAAAGAGCAGGAAACTAATTTCGTACCTAATCATGATAAGTGAGGGCAAATCTGTGGTTTATGCGCATTTGAAAGAATCAGATATACAAAGTGATAACGATTAATTTTAATATACGAGCACGATAGCAAACATCCGTTGATACTAGCATAAGCTGAAGTTGTGCCATTTTTCAATAAAAAAATTCGGTAAGAAATTTTCTCTGAAGTCTAATATCAAAAATATAATTTTAATTTCTAAATGGCACAATTAAAAAATATAGCTACTAATTATAATACCGGGTCACGGGGTCAACCAAAGCCACATTGATTTTGAATTGAATAGAAATTTGTATCAGACTTAAACGATAAAATGATTGCTAGCTTTTTTATACATAAAAAAGCTCGTCGATATGTCTCCAACTCAATACCCTTGAAGTGTGTAGCAAATCAACGCTGCAACAACGAAAAAAAACATCATTTCCCGTTTCGAAGGGGGTAATAAATAACTCGGTAATCCGCTTAGAAGGCGGCAATCGGCGCCAAAAACCGTGCTGCTCTGTAATTAGAGCGTTTGATAAATAGAGTCTTGAAATGTGTGTGTGATATATTGGGGCCGGGTCTGTTGTGGCGGTAAAAAGCCAACCGGCGACAAGACGAGGGTCAGCCTCAACAGTTTGATGAGCCGGTCTGATACACAACGCAGACATGAAAGAAAGAATGAGGAAAAGGACAATGCATGCGACAGACAGTCGCTTCCTATTATACGGCCGGGCATAAAGTTTTTTACTCTCGGTAAAGTTTAATATTTTTAACGTCCCATTTTCTTTCTTATATACTAAAGAATGTATCTTTTAACGTTATAAGTTATAATACATATAATCTCAAACTAGTGGATTAAGAAATTTCCAAAAATAAATGCAAATTATGTTTCAAAATTATTTCCTCAAAAATAATGGATATTTTCATTCCAATAATAATTAATTTATGGAGTCCCTTAAAAATAAAGCTCTTATTACTATTATTTATTAGTCCACATTATTAAATAAATAAACGAGTAAAACTTTGTTTGAAAAAAGGCCGGCTATTGTAACTAGCAAAACGGTATCACCACTATAGCAAGAATTTTGCTAAAACTTCTGGAATAAAAAACCCATCCGCTGCAGCCAGCCTTTGTTTCATGCTGACTAATTAATTTTAAAATACGCAGTTAATAAAATATAATTATATTTCGGCTGTGTAAAATTAATGGTAGTGTGAATGTTTTGTTGATTCTAATTGTAACGGCGTAAAGGCGATTGAGACTCGCCATTTGTATTTCATTTTTTAGTACCCAAATTTTAATTGTGACATCATAAAACCATATTATATAATAATATTTAACCATTTATTTTTAGAAATTCTTAATATTTTTGCCGTTTAATCTACACAGTGAGGCTTTTATAATAATATTTTTGAAACAAAATCTTAAATAATCAAGATTGAAAATATCAGACTATAGGATCGCAGTTGAAAAACGTGAAAATCCGTATACAATTCCTTAAATTTCAAGAACGACGTGCACGCAAGTAAAAAGCAGGTTGGCTAGTGAAATTTCGGCATCGTCACGTGAGACTCAATTATGCAGAATTGCAGGGGCAGCAGGCAAGTGCGCGCGCGGCCGGTCGAATGTGACGCAATTACCGACGCGGCGCGGCTCTCGGTGTAATACATTCATGTTTTGTGCGAAATCACCCGTGCGCTCTGGCCTGCCTGCCGCTTGGCATTTTCCTAATAAATTCCGGCCCAGAAGCAAACCACGCGGCCTCTTTGCATGCAGATGTTTACATTGCGGCCGTAAATATACTCGCTTTTTGTTGTTATTCCGCTTTACCGCCGCCAAATGGCGTCTCGTCTCGCGCGCCGCAATTGGAAAATATTTTGAAAATACGCTCCACCGACACCGAACATTTTTCCGCCTCTCGCGAATGAGGTGAACGCGACAAGAGGCGCGTCGCGAAAATTGGGCTCTTTTGTATTCGGCGCGTGAACCGTTTTGTGTCACGTCCGATGATTTATGTGCTGCTTCGCATTTAAAATAACAAAAAAGGAAAACAAAAACAGCAGTCAAAAGCTGTACATGCGCGAATATGCGAATATTTGGCAAATGTTTGCCACCTGTGAAGCAAGAGATGCTGTTTAACTTCATTTTTTTCTTATACATCATGTCAAACTGGAAGAGAAGTGAAAAAAATGAGATATAGAAAAAACTGCGAAGTATAAAACTGGCAAGTCCCCGTGGAAGAAAGTTATAATATAGAATACAGCAGAGAAAAAATTATGTATTTAATATGTACAGATAATTTGAAGTTTTACACTAAAGCAAGTTTAATTAAATCAAAAATAATTTATGCAACATTCACATAAAAATTTGAATGCTTAACTGACATTAATAATTGTAAGCAGCTTGTAGGAATAAAGTAGCAGCAATTGTTGCAAATTTAAATTTTAGCTTGGTTTTTTTAGATGTATTTACTAATAATTTTTTATAGAATTCTACATAATTGTAACAAAATAATATATAAATTTAATAATTAGATTTTTATACAATAATTTTTTTTTTATTTAAACATCAAATTAGTATTTCTTTTAATAATTTTTATTTTTAAAATTATTTGTAAGGTGCTGAAGGCAATAAAAACATAAATAGAAACACAATTAGCATTTTAAATAGTAAATAGATGTGTTAATTTTTTGAACAGTCAACCTTCAATGAGATTAAAATCCGGATTATTCCGATAATATCTGTAATTAATTTGTTTGCTTAACATTATTAATTTTCCACGTTTATGCAATAAATTTGAAAGCTTAATTCTGTTATTGTTGTTAATATAGCTGGGTGAAGTCAACATTGTTTGTCTTCACTCCGTTTGCAAATAAAGGAACTTGTCAATGATGCTCGAAGCGTGTTGAATTGCTTTCTGCCCACTCAACACAACTCTCTCCAGGGCGTTCAAAGCAAAATTTGCAGCACCACTTTCCCTGCTTGGCAGCAACGACAATCGCTTTCACGCTCGACGCGATTCTATGAACTTTGCACCGCGTGTAAAATATTTAAAGAGCACTTCAGGCCGTGGCGGCGCGGAATTTTTCCGCTGCTGGCTCTTTCAGTTTGTGGAAATTCCATGCAGCCGCATGGCGAAAGCCACAAAGTTAAGCGCGCTTCTGCTCCACCCCCGGTAAAAGCAGCAGCACCCACCGAGCAACCGAGCGAGCAACCGACCGGTCCTCGTGCTCGGCTCAATAATGCAGAGCGAAACTTCATTACCCGCGGCCGACCGAATCAAAACCGAGAGAAGAATTCGCGCCCATTGTCGTCGCTAGAATTCAATTATTGCCGCGTGCGAACTTATCGCCCAAACATTAATTAGAAAGGGCTGCAGAAAAAGGTATCGATTCGCGCGCCATGCATGTGTACATTTACAAACGACAGAGCACAATGGGCCGTGCGGTTTGATGAAAAAATCAATGGCCGGCCCGAGTGCCGCGTTAAAAGAGGGCGAGGCAATAATTAAGACGGGACATTTCGCGGCACTCGCGTTAATTAATCGTGCGGCGAGCGACCGCACCGTTGGCGAAGGGGTGCGAAAAAGGGACCGAATGTAATTCCGAGCATCCCTCTGTTGATTGCCAACAAGTAGAAAGATGAAGAAGAAGCTCGGGGTCAAGGTCGCGCGCTGCCGCCTGCCAGAGAGAACGGCAGCCGGCTGTTGATCAATCAAAGCGAATTCTGCCGAGCTATGCAGTTTGAGGCCCGAAAAAGTCAATCAGCCTGAGAGGGCGAGGGCGTGAAAAAGAAACTGCCCTCTTGGGCATCCGATCGCACGAGCCATGTTGTACCTACAGAATATAGCGGCGGGCGAATCAATCGACACCGCCTTTTTTGTTGCCGCCGCCTTACACATTGTTAAGCGCACCCTTAGAAAAAAACGTAATTTTAGAACCTCG